ATCAGATGTTCAAGGATTGAAATGTGATTGAAATGGGCATATGTTACACTACATATCTATTAATAAGTCTAAGTGAAACTCAGCTGCTGCCTAAGAGGTTATAGAAACAACTGAGGTATTCCTATGCTAAACCCCTTACTACTTATAGTTGGAGGTGCTACTCACTAAGGTAATAATCCTGGGGAACAATGGTGACTCCATGGAGAATAATGGCTGCTTTAGCAGAGATTGAGTTTATCCGGTTTTATCATTTATAAGATATGAAGCACATTTTGACAGTCTATTCATGCATGAACATCTCGGAATTCCATTATATTTACTGAATAATATTGTACATATAATATAATTACCAATTACCATACTTATTCATATAAACTACTTTTTGTTGGCAAAAATGTTCTTGTAATTGTCCATAGCTTGGGATCATTGTCCTTGTCGATGGCAGCAATGAAATATGATTTGTTCTCCTTTATATATACAAATCTGCGAAGAAAAAAAACCCCAGCCTGCAAAAACCCCATGTCCTCCACAGCAAACCAAATATCCGATGGTTGGATGGTGTTACAATTGACGTACCAGTACCTACTCACACTTTACTTTTCGTACTTTACTTTTACTTTTTCCAAGTCACATGACCAGTCATGTGACCATTAAACCTTACTTCTCATTTTCGGACCTTCCCTTTAAATTTCATTTTCCGCTTTAACCTTGTACTGTAGTTTTCACACTGTGCCATGTGGCACTTCCCTTTTAGTTCAGACTCCTTTCTCGCGCGGCGCTGCCTTTATTCTTATTTTTTATATCTCACGCAGTGGAGCTGGTCACATGGGCTAGGCCCCATGACATCAGCAGCCACTGCCTCTAGCAACTGTACAGTACATATTTACAAACAAACCTGTATTAGTATATAAACCCCAATAGATCTTGGGGAAGGACTCAGCGAGTCCTCCTCTTGTATCCTCACAACTAACTTGTTGAAACCTAAGGGGTGATCCCTTTCTTATCTCTCTGACAGTCAACGGTACATACTGTTGATTGGTATTCCCTTTCTGCTTGTCTGAGTTGTGCACCAGAGTAACTAACTCTTGGTTGTTACAGATGGTGGGTCTCTGAGACCTATTTCTCATGACATAAAAAACCCCATCTGAAAGACCCCGAGAGCCTCCTCAAAGTTCTGCCTAAGGTGGTGCAATGTCTGCTGACCAAGCACAGAAGAGCCTTGATGCCATTTCATCAAAGCCTGTCAGAGTGAGTGTCGAGATAGAAAAAAGGCTCACCCACTAATAACCCAACAAGGATGCATTTCTCAAGGATTTCTCCATTACATGGGGATAAGCAATGTCCAGCCAAAAAATCTACCCACCTTCCCATTTGGCATTTCCAAAGATCACCAAACATGGCCTAAGGATCCCTTGACTCAGAAACCATATCACCATTACAACTGGGCACTTACCACAGATGACAAGACCAATACCAAGTCTCTTCAAGAGATCCAAGCCTGGGTCACAGATAATGCACCCACTAAGATTCGAGAGGCTGGCATTATAGATTGAGTTGATTTGCTATCTTCATGATTGAACAAAGAGTCCATCTTATGGCAGTTTTGGATTGGATTTTGACTCATCTTTTACTGTACAGGACTCAGTCATCTAGATACAATATGTATTATTTGAAGAATTACAGGTCTACAAGTTGAAATGGCAAAATGCCTAAGTCCTTGATGGATATCTTGTTGATATGCACAAAAATGAGTGTATTCTCAGATGATATCAATGTTCGGATATCTGGTCAATATCCCGTGGATATCACCAGAACATCCGGAGATTGGTGGGAGATATCCATGGTTGAAAATCCGACTTTTTTGTGGCTTAAGCCACCTGAACATATATTTGGTGCATTTACATCCACCAGAAATTTTTGGAAGTCACACGGAAAGCTTTAAGGCCCGTTCAGCAGCCTCCATTTCAAACTGTTGCCCGCCAAAAAAGTCTTGTTTCGTTTCAAAACGGCGCCCTTTTGAAATGGGCTCATTTCGGAATGAGCTGACGTGTTCGGCAACACTGTTTGTTTTGAAAAGAGCTTGTCACACCACTGAGTTCTGATAAGATAAGATAGGCCTTTGATGCCATCATGTGATCATGTGGTGAAGAGTGTTACGCTTGGTGCCACAAACCAGAAAGTTGCTATCTCTTCTCGTTTAGATTATTTAGCATTTTTGGTATGAGAGAAAAGCCAAGACTCGGTAAATACAAATATAATACTGTAAGAAAAACTAAAAAAAATGGTGCCATGTAAGACGGGATAGATTTTTTTGTGGCAAAGATGATAAAATTCAAGTTGGTGATTTGCCTCGTCGTGCTAGTGGTCACAAGCCAAGTCATGTCATGTGATGGTGTCAGTTGTGGATGACACCTATCTTACACTACGGGCATGGAGGCATGGACGCAGGGTGGTTACAGAAGCCAGTGTTACTAATTCCATCAATGCTGATGGCATTGGTTAAATGTGGCTGAGGACTCATAAAATCAGCCTTTGAAACGGAGCTAAAAAGGAGCCAAGTGGGCAGCTCCTTTTTGAGGCTAATTTTTTGAGTTCTCAGAGGTTCTCAGCCACATTTAACCAATGCCACCAGCATTGCTGGAATTAGTAACACCGGCTCCTGTAACCACCCTGCTTCCATGCCTCCATGCCCATTATGTTCAAAACGAGCGCGTTTGCAAACAGCTCTCGTTTTGAAACGGAGGCTGCCAAACGGGCCCTTATAATCCAACAAGGTCCAGCCCGTGGCTCTGCCACTGGTGCAATATTTTTGCTATATGATAAATAATAATGATAATAATACTGTTAAGTGATCAAAATGTTAAGTCAGTAAACTTATGCTGTCTGTAATGTATGTTAAGTCTTTGAATCCTATGATGCATGTTTGACTTGCAATTCTGTCATTGAATGTCCTTATAAGCCTGCCCTAAACTTGCACAGTATACTGAATCAAGCAGATGGTTCATTGAATCTTTGCAAACATCAACATATATTGTAACGTAAAAAGTCTATGGTACTACATTAATAAATTGATGAGAAATAAAAAAAGAGACTCCAGAAATGGTAAAGGATGAAAATATGATCTGAGAATAAAACACTTTAGTAAAAAGGGTGAGAATTGGGGAAAAATCTACTTGCCAGTCACGGATAAAGCCAGTCAGAATTCCGGGATACACCACATTGACGGTACATCTGTCATTTGAACCATGTGGAAATAGCACTTTTATTCTCTCTCCTGAAGTGCAGCGAGACAATGCAACGTAAAGTTGCCCATGTGAAAACACTGGAACACGTAAATCCAGCCCAACCTGTGTCACTGATTGACCTTGAGACTTGTTGATGGTCATGGCAAAGGCAACATGGACAGGGAATTGACGATGTGATAGCTTGATGGGCAATTCTTCTGATGAAGGTTCCAATGTGAGGCATGGAATAAAAGCTATCTTTCCTGCATGTTTTCCTCCCAAGACACGGCACTTCAATACTCTTCTCTTCATCTCTATCAAAATCATGCATGTTCCATTACAGAGTCCATTTAGGGGATCAATATTGCAGAGGAGCATAAGTGGACATCCAGCTTTAAGTTTGAGGTGCGCTTCAGGAAGGCCAGATACTTGCAAGGAGTTCAAGAATTCCACAGGATAATTTTCATGCCCCTCTCCAATCACTTTATCAATTGACAGAGCTACTAACTCTTTTCCAGGGAATTTTGTGAGCATTGCTGAATTAAGGTTGCTAACGACATCATTTTTTGTGGAGAGAATGGTGCAGTGGAGGAAATAATAGTCATCTTGGTCTCCATTTGCAATTCCAGGATAGGTAGTGTCGACTAATGAGTCTATGGTGTTTTCTGGCATAAGCATGTTGGCGGGAAGCTCAATAGTTCCACCTCCTGCAATTCCACAACCACTACCAACATCCAACTAGCAAAGGCTTCACTTTCTGGAGTACAGTCCAGGCACATGTTCTGTGTGAGATAGCAGATATGGATATTTGTCCACAGTTGTGACCTTCTAAGAAAGGCAGAAATAATGCATTGCCTTGACCCTCTTGGAACAACAGGTGTTGTTTGGCGGAAGTCCCCTCCAAAGACCATTATAATGCCTCCAAATGGAAGTTGATTATCCAAAATGTCCTGCAATGTACGATCTAATGCTTTAATCCCATGACAGTGTTGCATTGGCGCTTCATCCCAGACAATAACTCCGGTATGTCTCAATACCTCATGGAGGTCAGAGTTTTTTTGGAATCCTGCATGTGGATGTTTCATGTACAGGAATAGGGATTCAATCTCAGAGGATGCTACACATAGAGCAACATTATGATTATCTCTTGCTCAAGCAGCAGCGGCAATTGTATTACAGAGATATGTTTTTCCCTTACCTTTACCTTCAGCACTGTGAATAAAGCACTAATTATGATAGATTGACTGTATAATGGTATCAAAAGCATTACGTTGCTCTTGACTGAGCTACTCCATACTATCTTTAGAGTAATAATAATACAGTAAAGTGATCAAATTTTATTTAATCAGACGTCAGTGAACTTGTGCTGTCTGTCCTTATAAACGTGAGAATTTCAATGTGGCTGCAATTTTCACTGCACTCGTTACTACTGCACTACCTTCCCTCTACTGCTAACCGAAAACCACGCGAGCGAAACTAAGCGAAAAAACGTGCTCCCACGTGTGCCGCACGCGACTTTTGGGACCACCGTCCCCTTCGTTATAGATGCACGTTGATATCCTGACAAAGTGAGTGTTCACACCGGTTTGCGAGGAAGGACGGGTGGATTTTCTCTTTTTACTCGTCACTCCGGCTCATCCTTTTTTCCCCGAGTCCATTTCAAGCGTATAGACAGCATCGAATGTAAATTACAGAGGTGTGTGTTTAAATACCTTCATTTGAGAAAACATAATTTGGCGTCGTGCGCGCTGTGATGATTCCGACCACAGCAATCTGAGAAAAGTCATGCACATTCGCATGTATGATTCGGTGAAGTGTACACTAGATGAAGGACATGACATCAGTAGATAATTGCAGTGAAAACAATGGATAGTACAACAAGTCATCTGGCTAACCCAGCTCTGCAGCAACACAAGTCTGCAACAGTCTATTAAACGGCGCATTGAACCACGGAAATCTACCGTCCAAATCATCAAACTTGATCCCTTCAAGTGGCCGTCCCATTTTCTTCCGGAATTGCAACATCTTCAACAACCGATGCAGATTCACATTCTTTGCCGTATCCTCGATCACGATCTCCTTTAAGCCAGGCCAGAAAGACTCAGCCCCATGTCCCTCATCCTCACTATCCACGCCCACCGCCCTCTCCTCCTCCTCCTCCCTTCTAGTGTCCCCCCGCGTAAGCACCTTCAGCATCGTATTTGTATACACCGATACCGTCAGACTAACCACATTCGGAAACGCTCGCACAGCGGCGAATGCCACATCATCCTTGTTCAGCCCACCATACAGTGTAAAGTTGCGTAGATTCACATACTGCGCGTCGTACCGCAGAAAGTCGACCAGCGTATTCATTACGTTGTATGAATAGATCCGCCGCAGGTCGAGTGTAAGGGAATGGAGGGAGGGAATGTCGAGTAGTTTGAGCACATTGTAGAGGTATGAACATGTGCGCACTGGCATTAGTACCAGCGTATGCAGGACGGGTAGCTTCACTGTCTCAAATAGTGCCCTAGCATCCGCTGCATCAAAACGTACAGGATCACCGTACAACACAAGACTACCCAGCGCGGGCGACGCCCCAAGGAGGTTCAGAAAATCACGAGCACTAAACCGTGTTTCATGTACATGCAAGATATCATTGAGTGACGTCGAGGATAGGATAAGTGAGGTGAGCGTGTTGTTCTGGAAGAAGTGGCCGAACGTGCTTGGAGGTACATTGCGCACTTCTAACGACGATAGTACAGGTGCGCCGCCGTTCGTAAATAGTGCTAATTTGTCGTGTGTGACTGGTGGGCCACCTTTGATCGCAAGACAGAGCTCACAGAGGCTTGGGGCACTGGCGTTCACAAGCTGGAAGAGCAAGGGGCACGCCAGGTCCCACTGCGACATGATTGACAGCCTACGACAGCGTGCGATACAGTCTGCCAACAGTACAGCGATGCGCCTGCTCTCAACCGGCGACACCGCCGCCCGCGCACTCGTGTCTACAATATATATATCGAGGAGATGCTGTTTAGCGCGTGTGATGTATGTTTCGAGTAGCTGCACGGACTGGTCTGGGTAGAGCCTGATGTCAGTTGCCCAAAGAGAGGCTGTGGCGATAGCGATGGAACGCCAGAGCTTCGAAACATGCGACAAGACGAGGGCGAATCGTGGTTTTGAAGAGACCCGCTCAAAGAAGACGCGTGTCGTTGCTGGCTCTGAAAGGGCTGGCTTGAGAACCTCGTTAAAGATAGCTGAGAGGAGCTCGTCGGGTAGGAGAGATATGTATGATGCTCGGTCGGGTTGGTCATGCTCTTTGAGGCGAGATCGTTTGAGGGTGAGACGTTGTTCGGCGGCAGCGAGTTGGAGACGAAGGGACCGTACGTTCTCTTCTTCATGCCGTACTTCAGCCCTCAGCAACGATAGGTCTGCACTCCCTTGCAGGGTTGGAGGCATGACGTGGGTATATGGTAGGGCTATTTAAGTGAATTTAGTGGGATGTGGAGCTCGAGGTAGTTTTGCGAAAAAAGATATGAATTGACGTACGGCGAACTCGAATGATGACAACCTCGAATCCTTATTAGTACTGTGCGGCCATCATATAGTGAAGTTGGAGCTGACAGCGCACAGCCTGTTGTTGGCCAGACTAGACAGATAAGCCCGGGGCGCCTCGATATCTGTTCTCTTCGAAGTATACGGTGTTAAAGAGAAAGTAGCGTCGTGGATGTGAGCTCGAGGTGGTCCAATGGAGAGCTACCAATTGCAGTTGCAGGTGAGCGTGGCATTACGGTCTGTCAAAGTCTTGTCAACATCGGATCGGCTTTGCTAGGTCTTCCCCTTGCTCTTACCCTTGTATAGACCGTGGAACCATTCATTTCATGCATAGAATATGTATATGTAGCCGTGACTGTCTCAGCTTTCAATGGACATCGTGATATGAACGTTCTTGATGATAACCAGCCAAGCCACGGTACGGCTCGAGACTCGCTTGAATCTTTGCCTGCCAGCTTAAGCGGGGAAGAACACTCAGGCCCTGAAGGCACAAGTACCAGCGACGTTGGATCACATTCAATTCCACAGAGCATTACTTCACGGCTCTTCGTCTCACATTTCCTCTCCACCTGGAATTCTCGCGTCTTCGAGTTCGGCGCCATCCTTTTCATTGCAAGTCTCTACCCGCGTACGCTCCTGCCAGCCTCTCTCTACGCACTTCTGCGGGGTGTCTCTGCAGTCTTGTTCTCCCCTTCAGTTGGAAAGTATGTGGACAGCAGGAATCGTCTTCACGTCGTGAGAGTGTCGATAGGTGAGCTAGTTTAGCGCTCGCATATGTTCTGCTGGTGTGGTACTATGTCGATCTGCTGCTGATCTTGGGACTCGAAACAGTTGGACAACGAGCCGTGTCCGCGATATCCTGCGCTGGGTTCCTATATCTCACCTTCAGCAAGCCAAAAAAAATATGGATAGAAGTCCTCGTCCTCAGCGTACTCGGTGGCCTGGCCTGCGTAGAGAAGCTATGTTCGATCATGAACTTGGTCGCTGTAGAACGAGACTGGGTCTGTATATCGATCTTTACATGTGTAGTCGCACTGATAATCATATAGGTCGTCGTGATCGCCGGGGACAACGAAAGCGAACTTCAAAGTATGCATAATGTCTCCAGTCTATCATGATAAGTATCTGACCACAGTACCATAGCTCTTAACTCTCAAATGAGGCGGATCGACTTGTTCTGCAAGTTGGTTGGCCCATTAGCGATATCTATGATCGATGGTATCTCCACCATCGTGGCGATCTGTGTCGTCTTGGCGCTTAATGTCACATCGGTCCCTGTAGAGTACTTCGCCATCGCAAAGGTTTGATCCTATAATTTTGAACTTGGGACTGCTCTAATGTAAATATCTAGGTCTATGCCTTGGTTGGCGGTCTGCAGGATGATAGATCATCTTCCCAGCCCCTCGAGCAACCCGTGGTCTCTACGACATCAGAGGGGCTGACATCCTTCTCGTTGTCATCAGCGATACACTCATTCTATGCGCCCCTCTCAGACTATCTCCACCACCCCGCCGCACTCCCATCAATCGCGCTATCAATTCTCTATTTCACCGTGCTCAACTTTGGCGCCCAAATGATCACCTACCTCCTCAACACCGGCTACAACTCATCCTTCATCGGTGCCATTCGCGGCGTGTCGGTTCTTTTTGAGATTTCCGCGACTTGGCTTGCCCCGTTGGCGATGAATAAGGTGGGGCCTATCAGGGCTGGGCTTTGGTTTATCAATTGGCAGCTTGGATGTGTGGGGATGGCGGTAGGCGTATTTTGGTTTGCAAAACTTCCATCCTTGGGTGCGGCGGGTTTGATAATAGGGGTGATCATGAGCAGAGTAGGTCTATGGGGATTCGACCTCTGTGCTCAGCTTATCATACAAGAGGTAAGCTCTGTATCATTGCTTTTACTCCGCGGTTCTCCGCTAGCGGCCCTCCTCGCGCGATGGCTAATCTGATCTGTTTTTGTTTTTGTGAATGGACAGGAAGTCGACTCGAACAGCAGAGGATCTTTCTCAGCCATGGAAGCCTCCCTTCAAAGCTCGTTTGACCTCTTGTCTTTCGCAGCCACCATCGTCTTCTCGCGTCCTGCCCAGTTCCGTTATCCTGTTCTGCTGAGTGCTGTCGCTGTCTTCGCGGCAACGACCTTGTACTCCGTCTTCGTAAGGAGCAGGCGAGGCCACCTGATGCATGTCTTGCAGTGTCTGGGGAAAATGTACCACAAGAACGACGACGTTGGGACGTCCGCCGAAACTCAAGGACTGTTAGCTTGAGTATGCATAGTATCCGTGCTGTCTTCAGACTTGAAAAAATAAAAGGTTCCAGTAGCTATGGAGGCATTGCTCGAATAAATTCATATTGAACGAGAAAAAAAAAAAAAAAAAAAAAAAGATCGATGAGAATTGGAATTGATCTGAAAAGGCTTTTGTATTGATGCTATGACTATGTAAAACAACATGTTGGCATCACAGAAAAAAGGATACAAAGTACAATAAGCAGCTGTCAAATTCTGAAAAAGAGGTTTCGAATACAATCATAAGCAAGATCTTGGTAGTAATCGATGGGATGGGACGTCACCATATCACTCTGTCCCTCCACACCTATCTACTGCTACAAGTCAACCAAGTGCTGATCAGCAACAGGAGCTAATGGATCATACGTCGCGTCGGATGACATATATAGTTCCAGCACCTCGAGGCTGGTAAACCTGTTGCCAATGTCATGGAGTGATGCGTGAAGCCAGTCATCAGGCCTTTTTTCCTTGTCCTTGATCAAGCAACTTAGTTCAATCTTGCCAACCGGATAGCCCATCTTCTTTCGTTTCTGCATCGCCGATGCGAGTTTGCGGAAATCTATATGCGAAATCTCCAACACAAATTCCTGGAGATGTTTCCAATACACTTCACCATCGGGGCTCTCGAAGATATGCGAAATGTCTCTGATACAGCCTATGATCTGGAGTGAGGTGACATCGCGAAAGGCAGAGGCTGCCTCATGCAGAACGTCGATATTGTAGGGATCGCACAACTTAAGAGTGCGGAGTTCAGGGTATGTGAGAGGGATGAAATTGAGAAGAGTGTTGGATGACTCGAGATAGTTTGAGAAGTCGATTTCAAAATGGTTCAGCAATGGCGCTCTGATCATCGAACATACGCCAGCTCGTGCTTGTCGTGATCGTCGTCGTATCCTCAACGACGTTCGTATTACCAATCGCAAAAATCGCAGACAACCGAGCTCTATGGCGATAGGTTCCCCACGTACTAGGAGGCACAGTGGAACTTCAAGTGTGAGGTCGGTCAGGAATGGTAGCTTTTGAAGAGTATCGCATAAGCTTTCGAGATACGTGTTTCCAGGAACGTCCGAAAATGAAAGCGTAGTCAAGGCTTTGGGATTGAAGCTTACGTGACACATGCTTGATAAAACTTCTGGTCCCAGTGGGATCAACGTAAGGGCTGGACCACCTCGTAAAAGTGGAAAATGGTGAGGACTAGATCCATCATGATGATCGCCAAATAAGAGGAGCTTCTCGAGGAAAGGAGCGTGAATAACTGTTGTCTGTCCAAATAAACCAAAAAGACTGGAAGATACATAGATGCCCAACGAGCGGCAGCGTTGGACAAACTGACTTAATTGCAATGAATTTGCGAGTTGTACTCCAGTTGTTGTTTTTTCTATCCAAACGTTGAGAAGAGACTGTTGAGAACGCTCGATGTAAAGTTTCGTTAAGTTATCCAAATGGTGAGAGAGCGGGATGTCGCCCATCGCCCACAGCGACGGAGTTCCGATAGCAACAGCTCTCCAATGTGAGGAGGCATGAGACATGTCTAGCAACGGATAGCTTCCATCTCTTTCATCATGATAAGGCATGTCAGAAACAACCTGGCGCATGATCAAAATGAGGATATCGTCTGGGAGTATAGATATGAAGGAGGGTCGAACTTGGAGAATGTCCTCGTAGTGTTTTAGCTCGGTTCGTAAGCTCTCCATCTTGCACTGCGAGACAATGGCTGATCGCAGTAAGGCTTCGAAAACATCTTTTTCGTCTTGCAATTCAGCTTTCAGTGCCGCTATCTTTCTTTTGTGACACTTTTCTGTATCCTCAGTTGCCATTGCAAAGGAGCTGCAAGTTGGAGATGATTATAGGGATCACTTGGGATCACCCTTTCATATTGGCTGCAAGCGTGAGAACAAGTTAAGATAAGCGCTATAGCCCATCGATCATCGATTGTGATGACCTTTGGAGGGACTCAGCGCAAGCAGCATAAGAGTTAAATATTCCAGCGAAGAAGCAGACATATGCATGGCCGTAACAACATCGCAAAAAGAAGTATACATGAGCAAATTGACGATAGTAGTAGTCAACAAGACGGAACGTCACCATATTTAAAACTCTGCAAACTAGGAGGAAACAATGGTACATCCTACATCGCGTCGAGCGATGATGTGTATATCTCCAGTACCTCACGGCAGGTAAGCATACTATTGGCCATGCCACCGAGTTGGGTGTGAAGCCAGTCATCAAACTGCCTCGCACCGTTGCACTCGACTGCACCGTCGAGCTCAACCTTGCTGACTGGGTAGCCACTCTTCTTCCGCTTCTGAATCACCCAAGTGAGTTTGCGGATATCTATACGCGGGCATTCCAAGACTAGTTCTTGTAGATGTTCCCAATACACTCCGTTATCAGAGCTCTCCAAGATATCCAGAACACTTCCTATGCGGCCTATGACTTGGAGTGAGGTGATGTTGTGAAAAGCTGAGGCCACGGAATGCGCGATATCGGAGGCTTGGTACAACGTAAGAGTATGAAGTTCAGGATAGGCAGGAGGATTTATTCGGAAGTAATTGGAGTATTTTTTGAATGTAACGGGTCGTTTCGAGAGGTTTATTTCATAATGGCTCAGAATTGGCGCTCTGACCAGCGAAAGTGTGCTGCAAGCGACATCTTCATCGCAGTCCCGCTGTGGTTCTATTATAAATCGCAAAAACCGCAGACAGCCAAGTTCTATGGCGATAGGCTGCCTAGGCGTTTCAGAGTACAGCGGAACCTGGTCTAGTGTGAGGTTGGTCAGAAATGGCAGCTCTTGAAGAGGCGCGCGTAGGGTTTCGAAATCTACAAGGAACCACAAGCCAGGTGAAAAGTAAAGGGAGGGCAAGACCTTGGGATCTAAGCCTATCTGACCCATCCTTGATAAGCTCGATAGTTCAAGCGACATCAACATAGGGGCTCCGCCTTGAAAAAGCGACAAGGGTGGAGTAAACCATCTGCAAATCTGCCTTCCAAGGCAAATTTCTTGAGAAATGGAGCGTGCGCATCTTTTAGCCGTTCAAATAAAAGAGGACATTCGTGAGGTACATGAATCTTCAAGGAGCGGCAACGTTGAATACACCGACTTAAAGTATCTGCGAGTTGTACTCCACGCCCGTCGTTGAATACCCTACTAAGAATCCGAATGTTGAGAAGAGATTACTGAGCGCGCTCTCGAGGTACCAGTTCAACAAAGTATCGAACTGATAAGGATACAGTAGGATATCCATCGCCCATAATGAAGGAGTCCGAACAGTGAGAGTCCTCCAGTAGGTGCACACATGTGATAACTCTAGCAACCTATAACATCCATTTGCGTTGGGTGAGTCAACAAGAACCTGGCGAATTATCATAACGAGGATATCGGCTGGGAGAATAGAAATGTATGATGGTTGAACTTGGAGGGATGGTTGAACTTGGAGGGATGGTTGAACTTGGAGGGTGTCCTGGTATTGTTTCAGCTTGGCTCACATTGTCTCCACTTTATACTGCGAAGCAACAACTTGTCGCAACAAGGCCCTGAGTACATTTTCTTCGTCCTGTAACTCAGACTTGAACGTGGCAAGGTCTCCTTTGTAGCGTGTTTCTGTACCCATGTTTGACATGGCAGAGCAGTTGGACGATGACTCTAGCATTCCAGAGAGAACGACAGGTCCAGTTCTTACCAAGCGTCGGTGGCCAGACTTGCCCGGCAGGTACGCCGGACCAGCAACGCTCGAGGTAAATGTCTGATAAGTAATCCCAACGGCGAAAGAAGGTATCCACCGCCCACAGCGACGGAGTTCCGACAGCAACAGCTCTCCAACGTGAAAACACATGAGACATGTGCAGCAATGGACGGCGTCGACCATAACTTGAAGGCGGGCCAAAAACAACATGGGGCATGATCAAAACTAGGATATCGTCTGGGAGTATAGATATGAAGGAGGGTCGAACTTGGAGAATGTCCTCGTAGTGTTTTAGCTCGGCTCGTAAGCTGTCCATCTTGCACTGCGAGACAATGGCTGATCGCAGTAAGGCTTCGAAAACATCTTTTTCGTCCTGCCCTGGAAATAACTATAGGGGCCACGGTTCTGCCCTTTCATATTTCGCTGCAAGTGTGAGAACTAGTTAAGCGGAAGATAAGTGCTATAGCCCATCGATCATCGACCGGGAAGGAAATTCCAGCGAAGGAGCAAACATATGCATATGCTAGTCTCCTATAAGCAGACCGTATTGACAGGAAGACAGTTGTGCCTGATCTTGTAACGCATATGCATGGGGAAGATAAATGTAAGGCCGTAACAATATCACAAAAAGAAGTATACATGAGCCAGTTGACGACACCACTAGTCGACAAGACAAAATATCACCACACTTACTACTCTGCCACTTGCTCCTCAAGTCCAGAATACCGACTAATAGTAGGAGATAATGGTTTATCCTACGCCACATCGAGCGACGTGCATATCTCCAGCACCTCATGGTAGGTAAGCCTATTGTCCACATCACCGAGTTGGGCGTGAAGCCAGTCATGAAGCTGCGTCGCTCCGTTGCACTCGACTGCACCGTCGAGCTCAACCTTGCTGACTGGGTAGCCACTCTTCTTCCGCTTCTGAATCACCGAGGCGAGTTTGCGGATATCTATACGCGGACATTCCAAGACTAGTTCCTGTAGACGTTTCCAATACACTCCGTTATCGGAGCTCTCCAAGATATCCAGAACACGTTCCATGCAGCCTATGACTTGGAGTGAGGTGATGTTGTGAAAAGCTGAGGCCACGGAATGCGCGATATCGGAGGCTTGGTGGAGTGTAAGGGTATGAAGTTCAGGATAGGTAGGAGGATTTATTTGGAGGTAATTGGAGAATCTTTCAGATACACGTGGCTGTTTCGAGAGGTTTATTTCTAAATGGCTCAGAACTGGCGCTCTGATTAACGAAAGTGTGCTGCAAGCGGCATCTTCCTTGCAGCACCGCTGTGGTCCTATCACAAACCGCAAAAACCTCAGACAGCCAAGTTCTATGGCGATAGGCTGTTTAGGGGTGGCGAAGTACAGCGGAACCTCGTCTAGTGTGAGGTTGGTTAGGAAGGGTAGCTCTTGAAGAGGGGCGCGCAGGGTGTCAAAATCCATTTCTTCAAGAAACCACAAGCGAGGCGTAAAGCAAAGGGAGGTCAAGGCCTTGGGATCAAAGCCTATCTGACACCTCATTGATAAGCTCGATAGTTCAAGCGACATCAACATAGGGGCTCCGCCTTGAAAAAGCGGCAAGGGTGGTAGGAAATCATCCGCACGGCCACCCTCCAGGACAAGCTCCTTGAGACAGGGAGCGTGCGCATCTTTTAGCCGTTCAAATAAATGAGGACATTCGCGGGGTACACGAATCTTCAAGGAGCGGCAGCGTTGAATACACCGACTTAAAGTATCGAGTTGTACTCCACGACCTTTGTTGAAGGCACCGAATACCCCACTAAGAATGCGAATGTTGAGAAGAGATTGCTGAGCACGTTCGAGGTACAAGTTCAACAAAGTATCGGACTGACTAGGACGCATGAGGATATCCATCGCCCATAATGAAGGAGTCCCATTAGTGAGAGACCTCCAGTAGGTGCACACATGTGATAACTCTAGAAGCCTATAGCACCCCTTTGCGTTGAGTGTGTCAACAAGAACCTGGCGAATTATCAAAACGAGGATATCGTCTGGGAGGATAGAAATGTGTGATGGTTGAACTTGGAGGGTGTCCTGGTATTGTTTGAGTTTGGCTCGCAGTGTCTGCACCTTGTACCGCGAAGCAACGACTTGTCGCAGCAAGGCTCTGAGCACATCTTCTTCGTCCTGTAGTTTGGACTTGAGGGCGGCAAGGTCTTCGTTGTAGCGTGTTTCTGTATCGATGCTTGACATGGCAGAGCAGTTGGATGACGACTGCAGCATTCCAGAGGGGCGACTTATGTCCTACCATCAAGATCGTGTGAACCAGTTCTAGGAGGATTCGACCACATAAGATCATCGCCGCCATATCACAGTTCCCGTCTAGGTCACCACAACAATATCGCTATAATGACGGGTCTGATCACAGTGCACAGTATCGTCGGAATGCCTAGTGAAGGAGTGAGATGGGAAGAGGTGGACTGCTATGAAACACTAGCGAGGCGTGGATTCCAGCAGAGCAGTTGGAGGTCAATGGGGGTAGCAACTCGAGAGTAAGCGTCGCAGGTGGCGAGGCTTGTCCGGCCGGTACGCCGGAGGGTTGCCGGAATGGCAGGTAGGTCCATTGTCGAGTTGTAGTCTTTGTGATTAACACCCATGTCCGAGCTGTGGCAGCGGTCGTCCAGTCCTGTAGAAACATGGAGCGATGCTGAGGGCGGTAACGAACACGGAGAATGGCCAGTCGGTGGCGTCATCGGCGAAGAGGTAGACTGTTTTGGAAATGTAAAGTGAGCCTCAGCTATCTTTTTGGTTCGTATCGATGTACTCACAATCTTGCAGATACGAGGTGAATACAACGTCTCGCCCATGTATCCTCGTTCCTCATCTGGTCAAACAGGTAGAATGGCTCAAGTGGTCGCGAGAGGACGGATCGAACACGACTTGGATGGACGGCCTGGCAGACACGCCCAATCTTATCAACCGCTGGAAAAGGGAACAGAGAAAGAAAAGAGCGATCCTCGCAGAGGAAAGCGTCGACATCGGCATCACCTGGGGACCAGACACCATGATCCACAATGAAAACACCGAACTCGGAGCCCAAGCATTCGAGGAGAAGAAACGAAAAAGCAAAGAAAGGATCTCAAGAGCCGCCGTCGCTCTATGGGACTCTGAGATCGAGGCCGTGGGGCGACGCGTTGAGGAGTTTGCAAGATCAGGGAGTCATGGTCATCTCAGTACCCATCGCCTTCGAGCCAGCACGATCGGAAAGGGAAAGGCGTCGCCTGTCGTCACTCCCATCCGCACCCGTCGACATTCTCCCGCAATGTCCTCCTCCACTCGCATAAAGCCGAGTTCTACGACCACTGTAGCCTCCTACGACTCTAGGAGGAACGCGGCTTCCTTTTCATCTTCATCCACCCTCGCCGCTATGATGTCCGAGTCCCCATCGGCGGGTCGTTCTGCTTTTGCAAGAGACATCTCGACTCGGATGAAGAATTTCTCAGGATCTTCATCCGTCGTACCCCAGGTCCGTGCCGTCGCTACTACTAATACATATATCAAGAAACCTCCTACGTAGAAGTTCACATCATCTGCCTGTAAATACTTCTCTGATGATCTCTTTCGCTCAGTCGTTCTTCACTTGAAAAAGCATGGAATAAGGTCACAGGAAAGGCTTATGCAGCCACGGTCGAGATAGTCAACGACATCGATGACGAACAAATACCTCCCGTAGGACAGTTCAAATATGTCGAAAATAAATACATGTAGTGAGCCTCTTATGCCATCTCACGGTTCCTATCTTCGACTGATGAGTGAATAGCAGCGATGATGACCTGAAAGACATCGCAACAGCTGATATCGGTCATTTCCTCATGTGTGACTGTCACGAATGCACAGATGCCTCGGAATGTCACTGCCAAGTCGTATCCGATCTAACGGACCCTTCAGGAAAGAAGATCTTTGCGTACAAAGAGGTAATCAAAATCAACGCTGCTATTCGCCTTTACGCGTGGCTGAACTTGCGCAACTTGAGGGATTATTCACGTTTAATGTTCCGTCAGGAGTAGAAGTCATCGAATGCAACAACGTAAGCAGTGGGGCTTTTTACGTGGCGCTTGACGTGCTCTAATGGTGTTATTAGAGGTGCAACTGCGATGTGTTCACTTGCAAAAATCGAGTCGCACAAAAACCTCGCGATGTTCCTATAGAGGTATTCAAGACGAGGAATACTGGCTGGGGCGCGCGCGCCGTCGTGCCCGTAGAAGCAGGGAAAGTTCTAGGAATTTACACTGGGTAACGTAGATTCGTCTTCAACAAGATAAAACTACTGACGATGAACTATGGCAGGACATTGACGTAAGTCTCATTATCACCTCAAACTCAACCACTCACGACTATACGCGCGACCTGATCCCGTAGTCGCAGGGAAGATGTGGAAAACTTGCCAGAAAGCCACATGGGATACTTGTTCGACTTGGACTGCACCGAGTCGGAGGACGATAATGACACGGGCGATAAATACTCTGTCGACTCTTACGAGTGCGGTACGTCGTTCGGTTTACCTTGCCAGTGTGTTTACCACTGAGTCTCGTCCACAGGAAACTGGACTCGCTTTATCAAGTAAGTGGCAGAGGCGCTGATATGTGCCTATCTTCCATCTCACATCTTGTCGTCCACCAGCCACTCGTGTAATCCAAATTTATCCGTATACGCAGTCGTATACGACACCGTCCGTGGCGTAAGTCCATCTGTTCTCGTCGAGTCTTTCTACTCCCTTACCTCCTCTTTTCATCAAGATGAATATCCCCTACTTGGCGTTCGCCGCGATAAAGGATATACCTGCAAGAGCAGAATTGACGATCAACTACTATCCCGCCGCAGAGATGGATGACGACACACTGATGCAGAAAGGTTCTCAATGCATGTGTGGTTCTCCAGGATGTCGGGGATGGGTGATTTGAAGTGTGTGGCGGGTGTATAGGATCAAAGATTCAGCTTATTCATTGTAACATTATCCGCACTCTCCATTTGTAACGACTTCATTGCTGGTGTCGAGTTGTAAAGCAGCTTATGACCACCATGATACCAGCTCTTTGATGTTTTGATACCGGCGGATTTTCTCCATGAGTTCTTATGCAGTGTATACATACAGATGAACCAGCGGTCATCATAAATAATAAACACAACCACCAACTCGAGTTTACACTAACCGACCGTCGTCCATTTTGTCACACCGCCTTGCAGCGCACCACCCAAAAGTAACCTCAATCATCCTTCTTGCCGTCCGATGGCGATGGAGAATACGACCCTCGCGGGTTAGGAGATGGAGGAAAGTGTCCCAGATTCGACAGCCCAGGCGAAGGCGCCACCAACTGCGACGACACGCTCACATTCCGCGAATGGGAATGGGATGCTCGCCCCCCCACCGACGGATTCGGCGAATGGCCCCCTCTCATCGGTCCAAACGCCGGCGGCCCAAACCCAAGTCCCACACCCGTACCCGGCGTCCCAGGGACGCTCGAAGGCGGGGCGGGGGAGAGGTAGGGCGTGTAGGGCGTCCCGAACGATCCCGACATGGGCGTGCCTGCATAGCTCGCATAGGGCGATCCGCTCGCGCCTTCGACGACCCAGCCGTTGCCCTGTCTGATGACTCTGCCGGACCCGCCCTGGGCTGAAGAACGCGCGCGCAGGTGTCCGCCTCCCCATTTGCGTCTGACGCCGGTTGCTTCGGCGGCGACGAGCCCTGGGGTGTTGTCGACGCCTGAGACGGCGTCGACGGCGCGGGTGGTGAAGCGGAGGAAGTAGGAGGTGCAGGTGAACACGCCGCCTATGACTCCTACGCATCTGTTATAGGGAAGAGTTTAGTAAGATGCATGAAGATAAAATAAATAAAGGTAAAAAGGAAGGCTAGGAGATTGACCTGATGAAGAGCTGGAGGAAGGAGGTCGTGCGTTGATGGATGGTGATGACCATGGGGTCAAGATCGAATTTGAAGAATATTCCAGGGGTGCCGTGATGACCTTTCAAGACGCGAGTGTAGTGCGTGACGCTGTACTGATTAGTGTGAAGAGGCTCAGAACGTGGGGCGATAAAGGTCGTCGGGACAACATGCAAGAAGTACTGGTATGCAACGAAGGCTGGAGGAAAAATAATGGGAGACAGCAACGAGTAAGCATAATGGGGTACCTACGGTCTTTCGCGACTTCGAAAGAATAGTCAAGTGGTTGAGTGATATCTGGGAAGTAGGGACCAAAAGAGAACTCGGTGATGACGTGCGAAAGATTCATCTCTGTTCACAAGACACGGTCATAATCGTTGGTATGCATAAACAAAGTTCGCACTCACTGGTGTGGTCAACATGTACGTTGCTGGTGTATCCATGCCCGAGAGTAGTGATATGCAAATTGGCTACATTTGAATGAGAAGGTGATCCGGATGAAAAAACAACGCGACACACCTGTGACTTTCTTTACCTGAAGGGTGCCATAGATCCTGCACGCGCTACCATCCGCTTGATAATTGTATGTTGGGCGGTAATCAGGTTGGCTGCGACGGAAAACGGAGGAAAGAAGACCACGGGATTTGCGAGATTGCGATAAAGCTTGACGGGCTGAGAGCATTGCGGCGTGTTCTCTTGTATAAATGTATAGGTGTGGTAGAAGGGCTAGGAAAAGATTTGAAGACCTACTTGAGTGAAGTTGCTTGACCTACGTCGAATAAAGTCTGAAAAATACCGCAGATAAGTTGTATGAAGACATTAACAGAGACAGATTTGCTTACACCGTCCCGACGGAAACCTTTACTGAGATAAAGACGATCACCAACGACATCTCTCAGATCCACACTGAGGACTGATGAAAGCGTAAATGAGCAAACATATACAAAAGTGACTGCAGTGCACACTCACGATGACAAGGCATATTGACGGCCATGTCGACATTGATGCTCATAAAGCTGTTTGACTGCGAGTCCACGCTGAACTCATAATCTGGCCAGCCCCATATATATTCTCCAAAGTCATTAAGGACGAGGAGGAAGGCGAGGAAGGTGATAAAGATGGTGATAAAACCGCGAGATTCAGACCGGGATTTGTATGTCGAGGGCAGTTTTGGAAAGGCATCGAATTGGGCGAGTGGGACTGCTGCGTCGAACTTGTCGAGCAGCGATGGTTCCGCCATTGTCAGTGTTAAGTAAACTTTGAGTGTAACTCAACTGGCTTTCTCTCAAGTCACGCTTATTTCCAGTCGACGTGTCACCGGGACCCCAGCACTAACATATTATGTAATGACTAGGTTCATCCTACACCGGGACTTTCAATGAAAAGCGAGTCTCCAGAGCTAACCACAGCACAAGCTGCCATGATTTCTGCACCCTTTCCTGCACCATCCACCAGCAGAACACTTCTTCCCAGGTCGACCTCCACATCGAGAACCAGCTCAAGGTCTTCTAGCCACCACCGTCTCAAAGCATCTCGTATCGTGTCACCAGGGGTCACAGATATCACTGCACCTGAAGTAGTCGAACGGTTACAAGCAGGGAAAGCTCATTCGCCCGATACGCTGACCGACTTAGGAGGCCCTTCGTCCTCTACTATTGCTGGAGGCTCTGCAATGCATAGGCGTAAGAGAAGAAGAGTTTCGACTGGTGAATCAGCGGTAGATTCTGAAACGGAGAGTGAGGATGATCTCGACTTGTTTCATTGTCCTTCACAAAGCCCTTTCCAAGGCGAGGGCCCTCGGAGGAGAGAAGACGTAACAGGCCATCCTACATCTAGCCATCAAGCACACCCTTCCCCGCAACCACCACGGCAAGGATCGGTGAAAGATGAATTGGATATCGACCAACTTCCACTACCATCCGATCTCATATCACATTCAATTTCCTTGCGTCAAATCGCTGCACCATCATCGTCTGCAGCAACACGAGGAAATTCACCACGCTCAGGCGAAGATGTCGATATTTCTCTTGAAAGTGCCCCCTACCCTACCGATCTCCTTCCCACTCCTTCGGAGAATCTTATGCAATCATTAGGCACATTGACTCATGAATCGGCCGCCAGGATTCATACGAATAGCACAGTTACAAATCCTCGTTCCATCGAACCGCTAGCAGAGGAAACACCCACGAAACTACCACCGGCATCGTCATCCAAACCAATATCCACATCCAGCACTAATGCTTTCCCCAGTACCTCTGCCCCCATATCTGCTCCTCAAGTTGAACCACTCTCTGCCTACACCTGCCCCATATGCTTCTCCCCGCCCACCTACGCAACCCTGACACCCTGCGGACACATTTGCTGCGGCCCCTGCCTTTTCACTGCCGTCAAGTCGACCATGCAGCGCAGTGTGAACCTCGCGATGGAGAGGCCTGTACCGAGGTACGTGCCTCTTCCCAAGCCTTTCGTCATTTCTTGGGGTCACTTTGTCAAAGCGCTGACACCCTTGTTCATTCTAGGTGTCCGATATGCAGGGCTGAAATCCCAAATTGGGATGGGCACGGTGGCGGTGTCGTGGGGCTGAAGATGCAGGTCGTGTATATGCTGTGATTTTGCCCTAGCTTGCAAGCGCTCAGCTTGATGGCTAGCGACCTAGCATTCATCACTGGAACGGCATCGCAGACAAGATCCAGAGGCTCCAATCACGCTCTCTGTCGATGTAATGATGGATTGGTCCTGCGGCCGCTGACAGGTAGGCCCGTAACACCGTCCCTCGGAGGACAACCAAGGACCCACTAGTGATAATTTAAAATTAGCAGAGCATTATTCTAAAGGTCTGACACTCACCTGTGTTAATACTGTATAGTTGGTTAGATCATAACTGAGTAGGGATTGCGACGGGAGCTAGTCCTATGTGAAATAGGTATCGTTACACTAGCTATATCAAATTTACAAACCTACTATTAGCTTTTCTTGCCCGAGGATGCGCAATGCATAGCTCGTTTACACCAGCGGAACTTGTGCTGTCGTTTTTCAGCCTGGCTCTTCGTTAATCACAACATGCTCTCCTTGTTCTATTTCTGAAAAATCAACTGTATCCTCATGCGCCTTCCAAATATCAATATATCAATGCCGGATGACCCAAGAAACCTAAACCAGTCGCCCCACGTACTCACGCAATTCTCATTCTCCGGTCTCTCGTATATGTCACAGGCAGTTCTGATAATAAGTCATAATGTGAGCCCCTTTGCGTGAATTAAATTAGTGAGCTAACGCAACAAACGTATACTGTGACTGGTTTGGTATAGAATACACAGCAGACTGCATCAATATCATTGTGATGGTGAGAGACGTGCTCATCTATAACTAGCATCAGAAAGTGGAGACAGGCTCGACGGTTCCCAAGCACGTATCCCCTTACAGGGTTTTCTGCATAGAAACATTCGCAGCTCGCGATGGCTCGGTGAATATCTTGAATAACGGGGACAGCATATCATCTACCAGCAATCAGCCATCAGCCATCAACGATCAACGAACGAGTCAGGGTGGCAACACTACGTACCTATTTTACCAAAATGCTAAAATATTAACGCGAGACTCAGGCTCCCCTGTTCCTGGTGAACGCACGACGGTGATGGGACGGACATAGATCTGAGGTGCTTTAGGTTGCCGGATATGAATGTTTTTGCGAAACAGTCCCGCTGGCCGCTCAAAAATGTGGCACATGTTTTGAGCGGCCTCCTCACTGAGAGTCTGATGAATTCAGCCTTCCAATCTGTTGGGTAGCCGGGGGAAAGTAGGAGGGGAGAAGGATGCTTGTACCGGTGCACTGATACTGTGTGGTGTGGGCTTACCAACGGTATCAATATAAGCGCACACAAGTTTATTCCTGTAAACAGGAGCTGACCTAGAACTAAACCTTGCTCCCGGGGCCCAAAGAATCTGCGGGGTGTCGGTGAGTGCAAGGTGGTTGACATGGGAGGGAAGATGCTGACTGATTCGATTCTTATCTTAGGATAATTCTGCGGATGGTGGGTTTAATTTTTTTTAGGGCTGCCATGCTTTAGATAAAGGCTCCGTTGTTAGCCTGTCGATGGAAGAAAATTAGCTATAGTAAGCTATATTGGGCAGGTCCGAGTCCACGAGAGACCCAGGCCAATGGTATAGCATATTTTCGTTGATAGCAAGGCATGTCGTTGAGTCAACCGTTGCGCAAGGATGGACAATACACGCAAAATGAAACGTGCGATGGTTTGAGTGAGACACGGGTGAGCACCATTGCTCTGCAGTCGCAATCCCGAAGAGACTGAAGCAGATATTCATTCTTAGGAATCCCAAAGAGGCAAGTGTCGACGACCGGGATCAGCTCGACATATTAGGTAATCGCACCACGACCTTTCTTCTCGCTCGTCGCTGTCGCCATCGTTGTGCTCGCCATCGCTTCTCGTCGCGCTCGCCGTTCTCTACGATGGACTCCGTCACCACCACTGCGTCGCCAAGCACGTCTCTGCCGTCGTTCTCGAGCAAGCAGGAACTCAGGCCCAATCCCCACCCGTACGCTATCAAGACAACGTCCTCCGCGCTCCTCTCCCGCTCGAACTCATCCCCACACGCTCCCCAGCCCGTCCGCCACCACTACGTCCCGCTCTCTCCTACACGCCCAAAGGCAAACGAATCAAATGGAAACCCAGACGGACGCAGACATCGCTACTCCAAATCGCTCTCGTCTGACTTTAGCTTTCCTACAGGCAATAATTCACCAGCGCCTCTGCCTGCACCGCCCTCTATTCGCTCATCCTCTCCCACTCGCTCTTCGTGGACGAACACCACTACCTGGGCTGCAGGAGGACCTACGGGGGACGCGTTCTCAGCTGCCGGCATCGAGGGCGACGACCTGCCATCTAACCCAAAGCTGTGGTCTCCCACGCAGCTGTCTGCATACCTCATAACCGCCCTTCGTGCAAGCGCCGTCTCAGACTCAGACGCTGTCGTTCAAGACCCTGACTTTGACGCTACTAACGACACTGCCGGAGAAGCCGGCGACACCGGCATCTCTCCCACCGATGCCTCCGAAATCGCGGCATTCGTACGGGACCAAAAGGTCACAGGAAGGGTCTTTCTCCGGTTCACAGAAGTTGATCTTGAGAGGTGCGCCGCTGTCTCGAATTGTCCCTCTCAAATCTCCACGGAAAAAACACTGACGTATTTTTCAAACCGCAGTTTTGACATTCCTCAGAAATGGAGATCTGCGTTGTTGATCTCATCACGTCACCTCCGCCAAAACGTTCTCCGCGGCCGTATCTGGGTCGACTCTTCTTCTCCTCAGAATACCCTGCCCTTCTCCAGCGAGCTGTACAACTCATCTACCAGCTCTGTGGATCTCTCTGCGCCTCCGGCGCCGACCACGAGGCAGCAGAGAGATCTGGCAAGGATTCGACGCAAGGCAGGTAGGGTGAGGGGTATGGTCGAATCCTGGGAACGCAGCTCTGTTAGTAGCTGTGGAAGCGTCAGCGGAAGTGACGCCGAAGAAGAAATCGAGTCATCACGCGTCACTGCCAGTCCGTTCAATGACTCGTCAGATTTACCAGCGCCTGATAGCTTTCTATCTCAAGATGAGAAACCTAATCATGCTGCAGTCATAGCAGACGAGCCGTCTATCGAGGACCTTCTACGCAGTCCCCCTTCCAATGACAGTGACATCAAAGGTGCACGTGCATGGGAGGCCGATGTAGGCATGGGCGATACCGTCAAACGTGTCGACGGTTCTCAAAGTCCTCACAAGAAGGAGCTATCGTTTGGGCGAGGGAGTGGAAAGGGCAAGGGAACAGGCGACCGTCGAATCGTGACTGCGATCTTCCGAGGTCCAAATCCAAATGCAGTGAGCGAAGAAGTGAATACACCCTCAGATGTTATGTTTAGTGCTCTCGAATCAACGAGTAGATCTAACGCGCAGACCATTGAACCCGACTCTCTTCCATCCTATTCGGATATTGCTACTCTTGATGCCACCGCCGCCGAGGCGCGCGATAGCAAACCAGACGAGCATCAGATTTCCGCGCTAGCCACGGAAATTAATACGACCCGAGGTCTGATAGACGATTTCCGCACCCGCTTGGAGGCCGTTGAGAGGCAAATACAAGATCTGGAAACGCAATCAGCAAAACGAGAGGAAGCACTACGCCTCGAGGCTGAGGCTTCTAAACAGTCTAGTTCTTCTGAACAGCAAGTACAGACAGATTCGCTGCCTTCCCCGCCAACAGGCATCGAAGCATTCTTTTCGCTGTGCAGACCAACGGCTCTCATTGCTCGCGCGTTATCGTACGTTTATCCTCTTCCGCATCCTGCCATTTTGTCTGCGCCACGATCCGATTCCCGTTCTCGCTCTCTGCATCGTTCTTCTTCACGCAGACACCGTGGGTACACAGAACCGTCGACTGTATCCGCTCTCCCGTCTTATGTCCTGTTCGTTTCACTCGGAGTCTGCGCCGTTGTTCTGCGTGTCGTGCTCAAGCGTATAGGGGCCAAACGAGTCTTGAAGTCGTAAATCTCAGTTAGTCACATAAGGAGTATCCAACGATCTAGTCGACCTAGGTTATCTGCTACATCTTTCCAGCTCAAATTTTCTTCCCGCTATTCATCGTGCTTTCTGGGACTCTTCCCGCCCTTTCTTGCATATTTCCACTGATAACTTAAACAATACACCATCCATGATCATCATTTTGTGCTTTGTGCAACCCTTGCGTTTTACATCTTTTAGGTATATTTAGGTATTTCGTTCTTGTGTCTTTGTTATCTCCTACGATATCTGTACGACCTTTACGACCTGTTTACGAAGCTGATATGAATTATCAATCCGGAATGTCTGTTGATGCGCTCTAATTCAAGGTGTTATGTATTTTTCCACCGCTGTAATGTTTGAATTCCTGTTTTTTCCTTATGTTCCCAGAACCGTGGTTACCGGGTCGCACATGATATATCCGTACCTGGTCGGGGAGTGCATTGCGCAGTGCGAATAGCATCGATGGGCAAGACCTTGCTGGCAAAAAGCGTAAACCATAACGTGCGCCCTTACCTACATGTTCACAGCATCCTTCGTCTTCGAACCTTAAATGCATCATCGTAGGTTTGTGTTTGATGCGGATGATAAACTTCCATGGCGCGGGCGGGTAGCTTTGAGTGCCTTTTGACGATAAACAAAAGAAAACATGCTTAGGATTATAATGACTGAGACGAGATTGTCTAATGGAGATGGGCAAAAAGTTCTGATGGGTGTGTGATGATAGAATGACGGGCTGAGACATAGGTGGAGAGATCCAGGTTGTACGAGACTTGTAGATAAATTACGATCGAAAGCGTGCAAGTCCAGAAACAAAAAGGAAAAAAAAAGAAAGCACTACTCCAAAACTGGTACCAGAGTTCTTTCAGAGCCTGCATTTCATAAAACGGTAGATTAAATCGAGATTGACAGCCGAGAACGAACAATTAGCAAAAGCCATGAGTCCCCGTGATGATAATACGGAAGAGAGTGGACTAACCCGATTGCTTTCATCAGAAGGAAGCCAACGGTTGACACCACCTTATCGTTTCATAATTGTATTGCGGGTGAAGAAAGGTTTTGGCGGTGAGCGGAGAGAAGCAGAGAGGATGGCGATATGCATCACTTACTAAAGTAGCGATGATGCTGGCAGGCACGCCGTTCTTGAGGAAATCTACGTTGGAAAGATACAGCTGACCGAGCTCGTCTTCTTGGGTGGCGCTGGGATGAAACGATCAGCATTTTGATCAATGACATGATAAACATACTATCCACTCCATTCACCGCCCGCATACGGGTAACGGAACAGAGCGGAAAAAGGGGAAATTGTATGATGGCGATTTGTTTAGTAACCCCAAGGCACTTACGCAGTCTGATTTGGGAACCCAGAAACAGGCATCCCCATACCACAGGAACAGATAAGCCCGGTGATGAAGATGAGCAGGTTTGCGTGGTTGCCGGGTAGGTTTGAACCCACTTCCTTCGCGATGGGTACGAGTAACACGCTAGCTATGGTGTGACTGATGAATGTGGAAATAACCTATGCGGGAACGACTGTTTCAGCTTATGATATGCGTGGAAACCGAAACAAGCACAGACCAGGACCACAGGGGATAACACGAGGACGACCGTGTACAGGGACAATCCCGACACGAGATCGCGGATGACTTCATCCATTGTCTCCAACAAGCCGCTAGCGGTCACGCCCTTTCCTAAAGCAATACCACCCATGGCCAAAAAGACGATAGTCCAAGCGAATTGCTCGAAATCGTCCTGATCTAAAAGTTAGTCGAATGCATCGTTACAGCACATATTAGCCGTCACCTTTTTGAGCACACCAGTTCCGAAAAATGCTACGATCGGTATGATAGCAATGACACCCATATCACCTACGTAATCCTCGATCTCGTGTGCAACGCACCACAGAGCAATGGTGAACAGACAGACGAAGCATACCCAGTACTGCTTACGAGTAAAGGGGTCTTTCGTAGGCCGAATGGTTCTTATCTCGACCTCTCCCTCGCCGTCTGGCGACCGCGCTGGATGGTAGCTCACGAGCAGTAACAGCCAGATAAGCAGGATTGAGATGATGGACACGGGCAAAGCCACGGCAAACCATTTACCCCAGTCGAGCATCGGATCCATCGCTTGAAGCGCGATGAGATTTTGCGGCGATGAAATTGGAGAACTTTGGCCCCCGATGTTCGCCGCGAGAGCGATAGCGAGCTAGATGATGTTTACTTCCGGTGCCTCCAATCAATACGGTATGACTCACAATAAGTGCAGGACCGAACGTCGATTTAGGTGGCAACGTCCTCAAGATGGGCTTTAGCGTCAAACGAAATCAGCGGATGTACAAGGAAGAAATAGCAGAAAAATACCCGAATCAAAGTAAAACATAGCGTAGGTGCAGCTACATTACTGATAATCGAGTTGTTCAATCATGAACAGCTCGTTGTATTTCATAACCTTACCTGATCCACATACTGGCGAAACAGGAAACACCCATGAATGCCAGGAGAACAGAGCTGGGCTTCGAGCCCGCGAGGCTTAGCACGCGTGTAATCAAAATGCGGTCAATATTCGTCTTGCTCAATGCTGAGGCGATGGTGAAGCCACCGATAAGAAGCATGATGGTTGGCGAGAACATAACGGAGAAAATGAACCTTCTCGCTTTCAGCAAAAGTACACGTTTAAATGGGATGTCTATCCTCACTTTGTAGCATCAGGTGTGGATAAACGAGTGTCATCTTCTGGTGAGCGTATGACCCTTAGGCAGATCAGAAGCAGAGGAACAAATAAGGAGGTAACGAATAACGGGATGGCCTGATTTTTGGAGGCTGAGTCGCAAAAAGCCCATATACCTAGATAAAAAGCCTACCTCAGTTGCCCACATTATCGTACTGAATATCAGGATAGCAAGACATCTGTTAGCCTCTATACCGTCAACAACCTGTATGTTCAAAAACAGGATGAACACGGCGACAGCCGTTAATAGTGATATCTTCTTGCTTGTCAATTTGAATCGACCGATAGGCGTTGAGACGTTGACCAAGCCACTATCCTCTTCTAGCACGACGCTAGCTCCGAGTAATTCACCCTGTTCATCAGTCTCGCCACGTCGTCCTTGACCAATCATCTGGCGCCAGACTGTATTGCGTTCCCATGCGATGTTCTCTCGTTGGTGAAGCTTCAGTTGTTGCTGAGCCGCTCCCCTGTCTCCCTTTGTGACGCACTTGGCATATAAATCAACCAGTACATCGATCGCACTGTTGAGTTTGTCTTTGGATTCTCGAGTAAAAGGGGTGGACTCTTCAACGAGCTCGTGTAAATAACGATCTTTGAGCTGTAGAAAGCAAGTAAGCTATTAGTGCGATATTTGGCCATCCTTATTTCACCTCGCTGTATGTCACTTTGTCGTACCTACGTCAAAAACAATTCAGTGAGTAGTGTTTAAAGAGACCAACGAATAAAAATAGTACTTTTTCAGAATCTTTCGAAACCCTGCATAGTTGATATCGACATAAGACTTGAGGGAAGATAGAGACACAAAAAGGGTAGTGATCCTGCGTTTAAACAGAAGCCGGGTATCCCAAGCATAACTAGATTTTGCTGTCCAAATTGTATCACCAACGATAGAAGATGTGACATTGTCCTTCATAGCTTTGAGCCTGTTTGCAAGGACTCGCGTTTTTCTTGAGGGTGATTTACTAGTACTTTCGCCTCTCGATGAAGAAGGGATCTGAGAAGGTGCAGTCGGGTTTAAAGAAATGTAACTAGCTTCCAAATCCGCAGCGTTACCACCGTCACTGGAAGAGACGCTATAACGACGCTCAAGGGACTCGAGAGGCTCCTCGGGGATTCCTATTATATCTGTAGTAAGAAAGCGAGAGTGAGCGATGTATGGCTTCGGTACATACCAGGAGCAAAGCGAGTATGACGTCCTGCTGAACTGGACAGTCGACGTCTTCGCTTGTATTGAAAATTGCCCTCTTGGCTCCTAGTCATATCACTATAATCCTCGTCGTCTTCGTCGTCGTCATCATCGTCATCATCGTCCAGATAACGAGTCTCATGATCCATCCCATTCTCGTCTTGCTCCTTGACGAGGCCCTCTACCTCCTCTAGTTCATCCAACAGCTCTTTCTGCTGAGATTCATAAAAGAGAGTTATTTTCTTTAGTTCACGATCTAACAGGGGTATGAAGAGAGTATCGACGGGCGAGTCTTGCGTATGATCTACGAGCGTAGTTTCCTCGCCAGCCTCTACATCACGATACGCAGTTGGCAGGTCATGATCGTGCTGTTGTTTCTCAAGCTGATATATGTATTTCTTCAAGACATCATAACTTGTTGAAATGATGATAAGCAGGAACGCCAGTCAAAGGCAAGGAACATACGCAATATATTCATCCCACCACTCGGCCACCGCATTGAATCTCAGAGAAGAACTAGGGCGTCACGGGGTGAGCGCCGCTGCTGATTGAGACATGTTCGCGGGACACACCTGAACTTCATTTCTGAAAATTTTAGAGGCTTATGGACGTTGGTGCTTGCCCTGGGACGCAAGGGCCGTAATGGTATAGACTCGGAGTGTGGGGTGTCACTGATGGATGATGGAGACAGGATGTAGGACAGTGTACGGGCCACTCGACCCAGCCGAGAAAGAGAGGTGAGTATATGCTGTCGAGAAAGGGCTTGACGATGTCTGAGTGTGCACGAGTGCTGGCACCGCGACGCCCGAGCGTATTCGAGAAAGAAAGAGCGCTTAGGTAGCGAGCCTGTGTCACGTGTGACAGCACCGCGACTGTCGCGCCCGTTCCTCAGTGGCACTTACCGTGAGCAGTATATTCGAGGCCGAGGCTGATAACTGACAAGACAACCCCTGCATTGCAAGGGTGATCGCTAGCTCACGTCCTTCTTTCCCCTTATTTAGCTCAAATCGTCCTAGCTCCCTTTCCCCTGCTTCCTAGCGGCGGCGCCAGGTGTAATACTGCCAGGGTACTGGTGCTAATGTCGTCTGAACTAACAACTCATCTCCTGTCTGATGATATCGTGATCGCCGTGTGAGAATACCGTCCATTTCAGCCCGCTCGTGGTAATCGTCAGGCCGTAGCTCATGCCTATCGCTCTATATTTGGTCGAGGCCCTTCTCCATGCCCGTGACCTCACTCCACTTTGCTATCTATTTCAGCACTCCTCCACATATTGTATCTCTCCTTGTCTTCGGTTGTCACTTTTTGCAATCACCAGACACCAACTCGGTCGCCATAGAATTCTTCTTTTAACTCCAACATCATATGACAAATCCGTCCCATCTTTTTGGTCATTCATTCTTCCAATCTCGCCGCATGCGAATTAATATACGCCCCGAAAAAATTAAAGTTTGAACATAGAACATTCGCAACATAGAACCCTCAGAGCGTCAAGCATACCCCGTGGAAGGGAACAACAAGGTAAGTTTGCAGAATCCCCTCCTTTTTGTCCTTCCGCCACACCTGCCATGTTCCGGCTTTGACATATCCGTGCCTAAACTGCCCCCGCACTGCGGACCACCAGCAAGGGTATAGTACGTTAGCACACTTCGTACTGTCAACGAGGCGTTTATGCTGAAATAAGCAGAATGCTCAATCATGATGCCTAGGTCACCTGCTTTGGCCAACAAGGTTTGCACGACGACAGACCAGTACCTTGAACTGGCTCCGTCCTCGTGCTTCGAAGGTTCTTCGCCGAAGTTAGATTTCTTGAGCTGATATCGGACTCAGTTGAGCCAAATTCAAGGCGTCTCGATCGCCTTGTGAAAAGAATACAGGATACAACACTTCAAGCGATATTGGTTTACCACCGTCGGCCGCCATTATGCTATGTACAGCAGTGCCGTCCCAGTCCCAGCGTCTCTCTCCCATTCCGAGGCACCAACAATTCGTTATCAACCCTCATCAGCGTGCAAGGTTTTTTGACATGAAGCTCCCAGAATTTTCCCGGAGAGGACACACACCACCGACACGCCCCTCGAAGCCCCTTGCGCCGGATGTCTCGGATTCTGACATGGCTAACCGCCCATACCGACTCTCGGCGTCGGAAGTCACACACCCATCAGCGCACAGGTGGCTACAGGTGGGCTACCCAAATACCCGACTTTCTTTTATGCCTATATTTGATCAAATGTACTCCCATGATCGATCGAATGATCAGTTACGTCGGGAACTTTCCCCTCGTCCACCCTGGGTCCCTTGTTATGGAGTTTCGACCTCGTGGATGCAACACTTTGCCATTATCAGATTATGATATACTACAAGTGCACTAATGACTGCGATGATAGCAAATTCGACATGGAAGCAAAAGGAAAATTATACAGCAACTGTGCTAAACGCAAGTAGGAAATTATATCCAACCGTGCGGCTAAAACGTGAATATGTACCGGGCGAATATTACGAAAATCATATGCAAAGAGCAGTAGACAAGTGCCGGTGGATACTCCCCAGCTACCACGGTCGGACGGGGTGCACCGGAGAATCATAATCGCTGTCATCATCCTTGCTGCAAGAATGGCGACAGGCTGAGAGCCGAGAATCTGTCCCGGCAGGCGATATATTTTTGCAGTCCCGACCAGGATGCTGGTACTCGTATCCTGATGTTAGGGTATTGCCAGAGTTGATGTAGGCACTCGAGGGTGCGCGACGGCCGTACTCGTCGCGAGCCAAACCAACGGGCTTGCCCTTTAGCGAATGCATATCAGCGGAGCGTGGCGTTGTGGGTGATACAGGAGAAGGATCACAAGTGGAGCAACCATCATGAGACGAAGGAGGAAGGCTGGGGCTGAGTTCCGGAGAGACCGACGGTAGTCCGGGTGCGGTGGCTGAAGGTTCCGCCCACCCACTACCCCTTCCGAGATGAGACGAACGGGAAGGTGTGACTGTGATGTGCGGAGGCCACGACTTAGATGGTGGATAGGAGTGCGAGACACTACTTTTGATCCATCAGCATTCGTGAGGCACAAAGGGGCGAGATCTTAATACTTGTGATGTGAGGATGACAGCGACCGCTGTCTCGCCCATTGCTGCTCGTCCGTCGATTCTCCGTCTTCTACCTTAACGTCATCATCCATCTTCAGTCGCCGTAAGACCGCTGCGGAATCATGCGAAGAAATTCCTCGAAGGTCCTCTAATGCAGATATCGGAGGTAAGGCGTAAGAATTTTGGCCTCCGTTACGAGGCTGGGCAAGCGGTTGAATTGGAGGAAGCATAATCTTCTCTGTCGTTGATCTGCCATGTGGATCATATTCTGGGCCCCGTTCGCGAAGAGACATTGAGGGGATATCGAGTGAAAGCGACGCCGTGGACGCCGAAGAAGTTTTGCGAGGAGGAATCGATGACGGCCCTGGATATGGCGAGTATCGCGAACGAGCAGAGCGCTCACGTATGAGCGGCGATGTTGAGGGTGTACTTGATGCGGAAAACCCATTTTGTGGCATGGGAGGACTAGCACGGATGTAGCCTCCATGTGAAACACGTTGTGACTGCGAGTACGGATATTGTGGCTGAGGGTACGAGGCGTTGCTATATATTACAGGTGAGGGCGGCACTTGTTGTTGAAGACCCATAGTAGGCACGACTGTACCAGGACTGTCACTACTCCTGCCCGCGGCGGGTGTAACGACAGTCCAGCCCGGTTGTGCATCCCTAGGGACACTTGGCGCGGGAGCCACTACTGGGTTACTCCGACGCGTCCTTCTACGACCTGTCGCTGTGGATACTACTTGGCCATATCCCGGTTGGTCTGGTGATAGACAAGTACTGGGAAATGTTGGTCTGTGATGCAAGGATTATTATGAGAGCGCGATCATAGTAGATGTGCCACTTGCCCAAATAATGGTATCAAGTCATCACGAATGGGCCAAGCGACTCTAAGGGGCTAAGATGAGTAAGAAGCCAATGAGGAAATACGGGCTGGAACAAACCGACGAGCTAGACGCAGAGCGACCTATAAGGGTTTGAGGGAGAGTTAGAGATTGATTGACATATGGCATCAAGAGGTGGTCACCTCGTAAGGCATCCATGTGCCTTGTATCTTGAGATAGCCACCCCGTACTCGACGGATTAGTGGAGCGAGGTCAGGCTGTGAATCGATCATTTTGACGATGTCAGCTGGAACGATCAAGATATGGTCAGAATGGATGAGACAAGGAGAGAGAAAGGAAAGACCTTTGGAATTGCCGAGCGCTGTTGTCAAAGGAGATGGCGTCAGGGAGGCGGAGGGACGAAAGGAAGATGCGAGTGACGGTACCTTTCCATATGCCAGTCCAAAGAATGTAACCATCATCGATGTCCATCATGATCCATTGACCGTTGAGGGGATATTCATAGACAGGACTGCGAAGATGATGAGGGTCGGAGGAGACGGAAGGAAGAGGACGGAGGCTCACATGTAACCGCGTGGATCGTTGCTGGTGATATAGCGACCTTTTGTGACCTGATGGTTTGGACTTGCATACGGACGAAAGCGAGGACCGAGGGTGGAGGGTGGCGGTGGCAAGGAGTCCTGCAAAGAGGGGTGAGGAGGAAGAGGAGAGACGGGGAAGCGAGAACGGACCTGGAGAAGAGCCGAGGACATTGTGGGAGAAGATGGGAGGAGGATGATAAAGACTGGGCAAGAGGGAGCAAGTATCAGGGAGGAGGAATAGGACTTATAAGGAACCCGGAGGAAAGGTGGCCCACCTCGGCGAACAAAATACAAAATATATTTGGGAGTAGTAGAGAGATGGAGACTCCGTGTCTGCGGAGATGCAAATATAGGAATGTGAAATGATATATCAGATTGTATACTCGGCCACGTCGACGAGGAAGATGGTAAACAGGATATCCGACATATTTTATAATCCTCCGCATAGCATTCACCACCCATATCCGGACTGTTCCACGCGTAAACCGGTCGTTACGTTCCAAAACAGGAAGCGCGTCCGTGGTGTCAGCCCTCGCCGAAGAGCATGGCCTCGGCCCCGGCAAGATTCGAGATCGCTCCCAGATCGGGACAGAGATCTCTCGATTCTTCGCGGGGCTCATTTGCAGTCCCCCTGGCATTCTCGACGCTTTCACATGGCCTCCAACGCTGTCCTATCACCCTAGAGCTCGATGCATGGGTCCACCCACACCTCCGTGCGCTCGACAGTCCCAGCCCGCTTCACCGCAACTGTCGTCAACCCGGCCATACCCACGACGAAGAATTTTTCGTCCCGCGCGCTGCAAGGGGCACCCAATATGTCTCCAAGCGGGTGCTGCTTCGATTCCTTAGCTCATAGGCACCTCAGAAGTTGTCGATCAGACTGACGTTGAAGGATCACCAAACCTCGACTGCTAAAACAATTAAACGTCACGAGTCGACCCGTCCTGAGAACATCTAACCATCGGAAGATATAAGCGTTCGCAGACTGTTCAACGATCTACACCCTCGCGTCAACTCGGTACCGACACGCGTGGCTTCCCCGGCCCGCCCCTTCCCCGCGCTACAAAGGTACTTCCGCATCCACAACACACATGTCTCCAACTGGCCATTTTTTCCATTCTCGTCATCCTCTCATAACACTCCCATTTCGGCACTCTCCATCCACTTCCATGTGTCAATGTATATATACACGGAATACTCATCTACCCGTATCTACTGTCAGACCACTATCCCTGTCCGTGTCCCTGTCCTCCAAACTCGCCAAGAACCTTCTTCACCTCCGCACCCCCCGCCCCTCCCGTCGTGTATATCACCTTGCTCCGCTCAAACCCATTGAACTGGCTCGACGCGCACATAGTGTATGCCCCCATGTTGTCGAACCCCAACCAGTCCCCCACTTCCAGTCCACTGGGCAGCTCGACCCTTTTGCACACGCAATCAAGAGAATCGCACGTCGGCCCCCAGACGCTGCTCAGTGCCAATGCCTCCGCAGCAGCAATGTGGAAAGATCCGTTCAAAGAAAGAACGTAAGGGTGCACAGTTTGATGGTCGAACATAATGCAGTTGAACGCGCCATACACACCATCATTGATGTAGTCTGCCAAGTCAAATAAGGAATCAAGTGAGCCCGGGTACCTAAACATAAAAATGACAAAAAGAGACGTACACATGACGCTGGGTTGATCACATTCTAAATCTAGGTTCGAGCACTCCGGTTGAAATTCGGCCATCGGAGCCCGCCGGGCAATGATATTCGCGGCGAGGCTGAACGCTTTCGATACGTAAAACCGTCCAGGTTCCGCAATCACCCTGATGTCGCCTCGATCAGGGAAGTACCGATCAATGGCTTCTGTCAACACAATAGCTGCTGTCTCAAATTGGGCGTCTTCGAATCCTCCACCGACATCAAGCAAGCTGAACTTATATCCAGCCCTCTTGCCCATGTCGAATGCCTCCCGAGAACGCTTGATGGCGTCCTCGTAAGTAGAGGGATCGTAGCAGCTGCTTCCCACGTGAAAGCTCACTCCTATCACGTTGAGATTTAACTCCTTTGCCTTGGCCAAAAGGCCAGGAACGACGTCAAGTGACGCGCCAAATTTGGTCCCCAGTCGAAGAAAACTTTTAGAGTCGTCTGCAAGAATACGCACGATCAGTTCCGCCTTGGGATGGACGCGCGCGATTTTGTAGAGCTCGTCGACGTTGTCGAATGTCATTTTGTCTACTCCTGCCTTTGCAGCACTCCTGACAAAGGAGGTTGCCTTGCAAGGGTTGGCGAAAATGATCCTGGAAGGATCAATACCGCCGATGTCGAGGACTTGGGATATTTCACCGTTCGAAGCACAGTCGAATCCTGCGCCTAAAGCAGCGAGAAGCCTCAAAACATATGGATCGGGGTTGCACTTGATAGCTGCATAACAGTCGGTAATTATCCTGTGAATAGATACAAACCGCTCGTACCATAGTGTGGTTCAATTCCTGGTAAATGTTGGCGCCACCTTTCATGTTGCCTGTACACCTGGCTGAGATCCGCCACAAAGAAAGCACTTTCGGCGTCGGTCTCATTTGCGGCCGCCTGGCGGGAAGCCTTCATAATCCCGTTCCTGAGGTGTATTTCTGGATGTCCTCGGAATAGGGGAGGCAGAGAAGAGAAGATGGTTTCATCATTGTCCTGATTCTCCGCAGAAGACGACTCGGGGGTAGTGTGAATCAATGGCGACGAGGATAGCAATTCGTGAGCTAGAAAGTTGGAGGACCAAGAGGCGCCTTCATGATAAGAGAAAGGGTCCGAAAATGTAAATGTGTTAGATATATCGATGGGGCACGAGGCGGGTAAGATTTCGACCTGAGACATTGGAGTTAAGGGACGAGTAGCAGGATCTAACGGATCTATCTTGTCTATAGAATAAACAATGGCTGGGTGTCAATTGAGGGAAGAGAAAAACGTTGTTGTTGCTGAATTCGATATGAAACCCAAATTACCGAACCTGAACCGCCGCGGTCGTTGGAGAGCCGGGCGGGGTAGGACGGTAACAGAAAGATTTACTTCAGTCGGTGTAGGATTCCTCGCTCCCTGTACGGCGAGGAGAGGACTTTGAGAGAGAATAAATGAAGTTGTATAAAAAGAATAAGAGAGGAAAGAGGAGTTGGGAACGGCAGGAGAGAGAGGGTCCTGTCAGGGAGGTTCACCTGTAGGGGGAAACGATGAGCTACACTGAGTAATAAGCAAAAGCTGAAGCGCTTCACGCACCGCGCACGGATGACCACCTGGGTCGGGAAGAGGGCCTCAGTACCGTTGTAAGAAAGATGAAATGAAAGTCTTACTCGAGGGTCAACAGACGAAGATCTGTGTTTCTTTCCTGATCAGTAATGATGGCACTGGGGGTCTCTGGCGTCGCACAAATGGACGACTACAGAGAGATATTTGCGAGTAGTTGCAGGAACGATCTGTGCTTTTTTTGCGGGCTGTGTGCTTGAAATTGTGGAAACGTTCACTGGACCAACCACTCGCAAAATTTGTCCTATCGATGGAGCACAATTTCGGAGTTTCCCGGGTAAACATTATTCGTTCCCTTTTATGGCAACTGTGGCTGAACCCTCTTACCAGGTATGTCCAAGTTCATATCAGGTTTGCATTTTTCAGTCGATTGCAGAGCTCGCCATACACGTTCCATCAGGTGCAAGGTCCGGACACATTTCCGCTCATGAGCGGGAGGGCACAAAACCTGATGCGAACAACAAAGGCGGGATTCATTTGGCGGCGAAGTAGGCAAACAGGTAGCTCTTTGCTGCCAGTGCCAATCGACTTTTTTTCATTACCGATGATCCAAATGAAACTCAAATACACAGGCCTCACGCCATATAGGTCCAACGGGCTCCTTCCTCCCTGCGATCAGTCATATATCCATAATTCTTCTGCTCGAAGGCTGTCCGGGTGCTGTCGACGCCATATCTACACAAATATCAGCGCTTCAACCTTTTTTGTGGCTAAGTTTACTCAATGTTGTAATTCTGTTCGTCTGCGAGACCACGGACCTTCCGAAGGTGACACGCGAAGCGCCTGTCGGGAGATTGACTTGCGTGCTACACAATCTGTGTATCGCGTGGGCTAAGGATGACACTACGGTACCGGACCTTTGCTTCTCCTCGCTAGGTGTCACCATAGCTTTCTGTGGTGTGGGTGTTTTCCTTCTGGGATTTTCCTTCGGTGCCATGCCGTACGAGATCAAAACCCCCACAAGGACACGGTTTGACACGGTGAGTGGTGTTCGTTCCTTTCGAACATAATCCACCGCATCTGGTTAGACCGCGTCAAATCGAGGTTCGTAATGTGCCAACTCAGGTTCCCCTACTGTCAATGTAACAGCAACTTATCAATACAACAAAGTTACATCAGGTAATGATTTGGAATGCATGAACAGCCTAACTTCCTCGGGCCGCCATCGCTGTCAAATGATCTATCGAATGGAGTTACTATGGATCCAATTAAAGGTTCGACAGCTTCGAGGTACCAGACAAAGAGTTTGACGTTGCAGTAACATGACATGATGATCTGGTCTGTGGTTGACATTTTCTCCGTCGCTCAATCTACCGTGGCTATGGTGCAGCAGTTTCAGTTTTTTTATGAACATATCGGATCACTTGATGAATGGAGTTAACGTGTTCCTTTTTCAAATAGTCGTGCTTACTGCACGAAACACATTCACCCACGTGTTAATAAGTTGCATCTTCAGCAAAGCCTTGAAGTTACTACTGCAATATCAGCTTAGAGATGTCGACCGCGATCGCAGCAAGTTAGGCGCAAATATCAAATGCCAAATGGTTGATACGTCCTTCGCATGCTTTCCGTTATTCCCCATTGACTACTGCGTCCTTGATGAGATCACATTATCAGTAACAAACATCTGTCTTCGCTAATCAAGTAAACTCCTCGATATGACTCAAGGTCCATCCTTCTCGGGAAGATGAACACCTAAAGTGTACAATCCTGGGGGTCTCGGTCGGAGAATGTTGTCCTCCGAGGTCTGTATCCGTAATCATAATCCTTCCAACACATACATGCACATAACCTTGTTATTTCAGTCTCACCCTGATAAACTGATTATGCGCTCCAGAAAGGGTATAAAGAACTATTTTTCTACGATTCCTTGACAAGTCTTCTTAGATTCTTAAGAATACTAATATTGCCACAATTTTGGTATGTCTTGGTCATTCTAATTGTTGTCCTGTGCTATTGAAACCGATTCGCACACATCACGATTTCGTATAAGAGGTATGTGAGGTGCGTTTGATGGGCCTGCGCGATCTTTCACACTTTGGGCCTTTTCACATGGTAACGTAGTGAGCCATTACTCGCTCGTACAAGGCACCGTTATGTTGGTTTAGTGCCTTACGGAGCGGAAGCATTTAGGTCAGATTCTGCCAATCCGGGAACCTACTTCTTGTCTGCTTGCTACTGTGTTTCGATACTGTCAGAACTCGTCGTCAGAATTCGAAATCACCTTTTTTCAGCATTCGTTTATGACCAGGTTAAAGTTTCCGGGTGCTATACAATTTCCCTCCCGGTGGAGGGATTATCCAAAGATGATAATGTTCGAGCCCTAATTCGCAGGGAACTGCATATCGACAGTTCTTAATAGAAGAACTAATCCTTACGGCAGGTTTACTTCACCATCGCAACTCCTCGAGTGACAGCTCAGCGATTCCGTCGCACCTTTCTGAATAAATTAGGAAAAAAAAAACATTGATCAGTTGCAGTTGCGGTATCCTACGATGTCAATCGTTTCTATCCATTTTAACTCCTAAATTGTATGGCCGGGCCGGATTTTTTGCATGATGATTATATTGCCATTGAATGAGGCAGATTAACGACATCCATCATCTGCCAGTGGGGAAAGACAGTCCGCAATACCGCGGTCGACGGTCGACGGCATGGTTATCAAGTGTCGTCATGGCATGACTTAACGTCGGGTCGAGGGGCGCAATGAACTCATATGCGCGTTGACCCTTAGTCACCTGTCCGCTACGAGATATGTACGCTCCCGCCATGCAATCAGCGCCCCTCTTTTACTGTAAAAGATTGCGGTGTCCCTTAGGACCGAGAATTCTGCGCGAAAGTTAGGTAACCAACGGCTGGAGAGCGATAACGTTATGGGTCTCAGACAGGCGTTGATTGATCCTTAACTGCCCTCGCGTGACCGGAAGTAGCCTGTGCCATAACGTCTCAAAGTAATTCCAGGTTGCCGCATGAAATGAACCAGATACAAAAATTTAGTTTAAATCTTTATTCTCAGTCCCGGAGGGGATTGAGCGAGATAACCGAAGAAGTTGACGCCTTTTTAGGCAACGTCTGATTCGATTTAACTGGTTTCTGGAATATTGGGACGACATAAAATTGGCGTGAATTTCATATATTCAAACCATATTTATGTTCTGCCGACAGTTTGTTGCGTTCTTGGTGATAGTGAATCAACGGGGTGGGAAAGACGTCGATGCCCAAGGAGCTCGGGTGCCCGTGTTCACGTTGTTACGCGGGGCCGTTCCACCAACAGGTGGCTGCTGCTGGGAAGCCTGGGAAGGATCTATGGCGGCCCAGTCCACCAATCCACCAAGGGGAATATGTTGTACTACCACTCTCTTTCCTAAAACTTCAGCCTGAAATTTTTAGTCTAAATAGCGAGTCCAATGCGGCCGAATGGAAGACTACTCACTTCATACATCTTGAACAAACCAGAATTTACCTTTCCCCAGTTGGGTACACCGGCCGCGATAGAATACAGCTGTGAGGAATGCTCGTGGAAAGGGCCGTGCTTCACTTCGTGAATCCGCATTATTGACATGTAATACAGATTTTCAGGTGGCAGAGGAGGGTGTAGAATGGACGATACTGGGATGTCTTGCCTGTCTGTTCAGAATTGTTATCCGTGGGATAATAAAGGTAGTTAATAACTAACCTCGAAGCTGACCGCTTCCAAATATATATCCCAGAAAGCTGAAGTCGTCGAGACCCCATACGCCATGGCTTCCAGCAGGTTCGAGTTTATAAGTGTCTTGAAGCCTCCAGCAGAGTCGTATGTAGCGGGTAAAAACCCCAAGGACGATTGCACGCTCCTCTTCAGCAATTGGTTCAAGAAATCGGATAAGAGTCAAACACAAGAGAAATATAGCGAATGATGTTTCATGACCGGTACCATAATCCATCCGGAGAAAAGAACCGAACGAAGTTAGAAAGTATGGTTTTATGTGAGGGATGGCAATGTATAATTCCGGCTCCAACAACGAGGACAAAAGATCTTCTGCGCGCTAGACGATAATGACTAATGACCATTGACCCATAATTTGAAGCACGAACCTCTTCTAAACGTGCTCCCCAAGTTCGGAAAGCAAGGTTGCCAAATCTCTGTGGAGTAGGTAATGGAGGTATTTCCTCGATCCACCCGTCCAAGGTATCCAACAACTCAAACATTCGTTTCACTGGCTATATTTATCAAGATAAACGCGAATTGATTAGCTAGATTGATTATCGTCGCACCTGACTGGACGCAGAGGGTGTCCATAGAAGCATATGCCCAACAACCGCTTCATTCAGTCGACGCAAAAACAGGGCATAATCTCGATAACCTTTTGTTGTCTTCCAGTAGTCAACATCATGGTCTGAATGGATTTTTTGGACAGGCAGAGCGGCATATTCCGTTATCTCTGATATCGTGACATGACGCAGGGGTAGAAGTTCTTGAGGACCCATTATGAAATCCACAGAATGTGAAAGGGAGTCTGTGATTTAATATGAGTGCAATCGCACAAGATAGATAGTGACTAATATAGATTTACTGTGATGCCTTGACTATAATGCGTTTTTCTTACTGCGTTTGAAGTGGTCTAACACAGGAGGTGTGATGATATGAGTCACGTGTGGCGCGTGTGTACGACGCGTTTCAAACTCCTCTATTAATTGCACAGGCGCGGTCAGTGACACGACGGCTTTCTCTCCTTCTCCTGTTGGGCACAATTATTGCACTATTGTAACCTACATACTCCTCCTGTCATAATCGCCTATTATGAGCCATTTTGATAGCTGGAACGTACTAACCGAAGAAGAAGACGAAGAACTTCAAGATGCCTCGGTATGTACCTAATATTTGTTGCATAATCAGTGATGCCAAACACTTTCTACGTGTCGTTCCAGTTTTTCGAAGGAAAGAGGGACGTGATATTGCTCTGCATAGATTGCTCGGAATCTATGCAAGAGCTTCGAGATGACCCTGTTTATGAAAACGTGAAGACATGCCACCTATTGACAGCTCTCGAAGCTGCGGTACAAATCCAGAAGAAAAAGGTGATCGTAGGACCAAATGATTCAATTGGAATATTACTATTTAATACAGTGAGACATATTACGCTAATTCATTGCTGGATATTATACTCAGGGAACATACCAGACACGGCAAAGCGACACAAAGGATCATACATCCGAAATTAAGAAGAATACATTCGCGTTTCAGCCCATTACGCAGATCAGCGCTCCAAAAATTCAGGAGCTGATACAATTACTGGATGGTATTTCAGGATACCTATCTAGCGTTATCGTTATCTCATATAAATTACATAGCTGCAAGGGATGATCCAGACGTTCTCAAACAGACCTTCCCACCTCTTACCGGGAAAAAGATCCCAATGGGTGATGTGTTTACTAGCTGTAACTGGTTTCTGCGCGATGGGTAATGCGATAGCTGACGTTCTATTCTGATTTAAGTTCTAACCTTGTTATCCTGTATATAGTGCTCCAAAAACAGCTTCGAAGCGTGTCTTTCTGATTACTGATGAAGACAACCCTAATCCTTCTAGCGCGCAGCTTCTCACATCTTCTAGAACAACTCTTCTCGTGTGTATTACATTTCGTTCTTCACAAATGACCTCTCTTCACGATACTTTAGGATCTTACCCAATCAGGCGTCCAGGTCGAGCCATTTTTTATATCAACTCCGGACAAGCCCTTTGATGCTAATAAGTTTTATTCCGTTTGTATTTTCGTTTTGTTATCCCCTATGTTCCTAGTTCTCAAGATATTCCTAGTCTGTGTTATTGTCAGATAACGTAAACGACGAAGATTCAGACGAATCTGGAGTCCTTCCGGAGTCTATCTCCATAACTCGTATTGATGACCTCCTTTCTCAAATGCGATTTCACGAAGTACCTAAGCGAGCATTGTTCAGCATACCGTTCGAGATGGCAAAAGGCCTGGTCATTGGGATAAAGGGGTCAGCATAAAAATACTGCCTTCATTAACGAGAAGATATTCACCTCCAGATAGATACGGGCTAGTGACAGAACAGAAGAAAGGGGCATACAGGTATTTTGTAGACTTGGGTGATAGGATGGAAGTTGCTTGCAGTCGAACAGTGTATCTCGATGAGGTATATATTCTTCGCCAACGGACAGTACCTTGACTCAAGATATCATTATTCAGGATCAACAAGCAGAAATTGACAAATCGAAAATCGTCTTTGGCATGTCTTTGGGTGTGCCCGTCACTGACGAGACCAGTGATGTAGAAGACAATGGTTTTGGCACACGAATTGTTCCCGCCGGAAAACGAGTATGTTATCAAAAGCTTCAATTTGAAGTGTCGAGTAGTAAAACTAACATCGCACAATTCGCAGCCCTTTTTCGACGCGGATGAGGTGAGATCCTTCAGAACTCTTAATCTTGATCCAGGTAAGTCAAGTCCACCAGATGGGTCCTGATGCGAGACACATTAGCGGAATACCTAGTCATCAAGCTACTCGGCTTCAAAGATAAACAAGAACTGGCTTTTGAGGATAATGTCAAACATTCTTACTTTATTTATCCAGACGAACTTGTCAGATAATCTTCCCAATCTTCTTCTTTGGTCGATACTGATTTTACACCTATTGTCACTACATTTCTGCAGAAATTTTCAGGAAGCAAGCGCACCTTTAGTGCTCTTTTGAAAACCATGCTGGCTAAGGGTAAGATTGGGTTATGCATAGCTTTAACGAGACGAAATGCATCCCCCACCTTTTGCGCAATGCTTCCTCAGGTAAGGCACTTTGCTGTCGTTTGATGATAAATCAAATATTTTACTTGATTAAAGGCCGAAAAAATCGAGGAAGGTGGATGGAACGAGCCTCCTGGATTTCACGTCATTCCTTTGCCATTTGCCGACGACATTAGAGCGGCTCCCCTAGAAGAAGGATATCGAGGTACGCGTATATTCTTCTATGAGTCAACTTGATGCTGAGATCAATGGGTAGCGTCCGACAAGATAAAGGATGCAGCGAGAACATGGATCGACAAACTTTGCGTGAAAAATGGAGCATACCCTCCCGACTCATATCCCAATCCAGGTAAATCACTTACATATTTCCTCTGCTCACATAGCTTATCGTTTTACCGACTGAAGCACTTGCTTACCATAATGCTCAGCTCCAAGCTGCTGCATTTCGTGAGGAGTTTGACGCTGAAGCGTTCGACGACCTGACAAAACCGAAGCTGGATATGATACACAAGGTTTGCGAGATTATGAATTTCCACATATATTATTCTCACCAATTTCGCAGCGGGCAGGAAGTCTCATGAAGGAGTGGAAGCGGGAGCTTGTGAAAGATGACTCTGCCAATATGGTCATTGTAACAGCTGGGTCAAAGCGGAAAGCAGTGAGTTATAGCTACGTTTCATCTTTGGCCAACCTAAACTGCTGTTATCTTGCAGGATGTTAGCGTCGATGAAGCTGAATTACGTAGTAAATATGAACAAGGAACTCTTGCCAAGGTGGTTTTCATATTATATTTAGCCTGAACTGCTCCTGATGTCATATTTATAGCTGCGGGTGGATCAGCTGAAGGTCAGATAGTGGTTATACCATCTTTTTGCGTACCATTTTATTCATCAGCTTTATAGGATTTCCTCAAGAACAAGAGCCAGTCGGTTTCAGGAAAGAAGGCAGAACTGATTGACCGTATAGCGGAATGGATGGAGACTCACAGCTAATTTGCTGTCATTAATATACAATCATCCACGACTAGACTTGCATGATCCACAGTATTTTCACAGGATCTGTCAAAGTATCTGTCCTCTGTATCCCTGCATTGGTATCTGTTGTAGTACGGTACAGAATAATAATTTCTAATTTCTAATATTTATATCTCGGGTAGGTCCGATAACACCATTATGTGCAAATCTTGGGTGTTATCAATCATCTCAGCAAATCTGTTAAGTCCCATAGTCAGCCTCTGAGTTTCCTCGGTATATCCCCGAAGCCCGACTACATCTCTTCCGACTTCACTCGATCTTCAAATTTCTACCCACACCCCAGTTCACCTCTTTCTAGATCGTTCATCTCCACACTGGTCCATCGTTACACGCCCTCGCATATTACGACCGCCGTGTCCGCTCATTAACCTTCAAAACTATGTCAAACCTGGAGAACTTTGTAAACGTCACTTCTCCTGAACATTTCCGGGCGCTTCTCTCGAAAGACCTCGAGCGTGTTTCTCTCATCAATTTCTGGGCACCATGGGCTGCCCCTTGCACCCAAATGAATGAAGTCGTGCTAGAACTTGCAAAGAAGTACCCGAAATTACTTGTCTTACAGGTGAGATCTGTAAAGCCACTGGTTACCCTATGGAATTCTTGTGAAAAGCCTATATTTCATACTAACTTGACTCGGCTTCTCCGCACTTCATCTTTGACAGGTCGAGGCGGAGGAGCAACCTGATATCACGGAATCCATGGACATCGAAGCCGTTCCATCATTTATCGTTCTTCGTGTGAGTAGATTTTCACTTGGTCTATCTTTGAACACATACATGCTATTCCATATGGCATCGAACGCACCAGAAACTTACTTTACTTAACAGGGGCACGCACTCCTTTCACGTATACCGGGCGCCGACGCCATAAGACTTACCACCGCGCTCGCAGCGCACCTGCAATCACCTGCGGCCCCCATTCCCACCCCCCTGGAAAAGAAAGAGACGCCGGAAGAACTCAAGAGCCGCATGGATGGATTGATGTCTAAGAGCAAGGTTGTTCTATTCATGAAAGGACAACCAGATGAACCGCGATGCGGATTCTCTAGGCAGACTGTACAGTTGTTGAGGGATAATAAGGTCGAATTCACCCATTTCGACATTCTTTCCGACGAGAGCGTCAGACAAGGTTAGTCAACTATCCAGGATAAAAAAGACAAATATGTTTACTAACTCCCTTCAATCACAGGACTCAAGCAACTGAATGACTGGCCGACTTTCCCACAGATCATAGTTAATGGAGAGTTTGTCGGAGGTCTGGATGTAACGAAGGATTTGTTCAACACCGGGGAATTTTGGGAAATTTACAAAAGTGCTTGATTTTCTATTCTCTATTTTCCGTGCTTTCTTCGTTACCTAGAAATGTGTATCGCGTCATCTGTTCCATGAGCTGTAAATTGTAATACTAATACAATGGCAGGTCACGTGTCTATTTGCATTAGAAAAATACTGCTCCATCGCTTGTAATGTCAAAATTTCTCTGTCTATGTTCACTTTCCACCTTAATTTTCTTTGTCAAGCTGGGCAGTTCATATGTACTTTCGTTCAAGTGATTACGTCTCATTGATCGTCACTACTAGGTTCTCTGAGTGTGGTGGAATGATGGCCAATCCCTTCGAAAAAATGCCTTAGGGGCGGGCCAGTCCCATAGGGGCGATTGAAGGTACGTTGCACATAAATTTGAATACATTTTATATACTAATTAACAAAAGAGTGTAGGGGAAAATAATGGGAGAGAATGACACTCTAAGGTGCAAACCCAGCGGTAGAGAATTCTCACACCAATCATACTGGTTGACGTTCGAGTCTAACCTCTTCAAACTGACTTTGAGCTAGCGAACAAACCCCCCGCCGAGCAGTATGAAAGGTCATCAGCTTATAACCGGCAGCGGCGTGCAAGTTAAACACAAAATGCTAGACCTCCACTCTTGGTTCTTATCTATAACTTGCTTGGTTTGTCCTTGATACTATGTTCATTTTGCACACAGTAACACTTTAGTATATTTCGCCAGGAAGCTAGATTGTCCGTGGACGGCACAGACCCTCCCGTCACAACAGCACTCGTCAAATAACTCATGATGGCTAGGAAGTATGATGCTGGGAAGTATATCAATACCGTGACCACCATCGCTCCACAACATCGTACGAGATTCTCAGGATACGTCACACCGATCGTGAACTCCATCGATCAGCACAAGGGTCGAGTGGTTTTGCTCGCACGGCTCAAATATCTACACAATAGGCGATGCCACAGCCAGATATGTGACTTAAAGTCTGGTAAGACAATTTCATCCATGATACAAGAGGTCCTCAAATGCTCTCGGATACGAGGATAACAGGCGAAGAGAAGGGTATGGTGTAAAGTATATGGAAGGATTCCGAGAAGGTGATAACGAGGTATTATGACTTCGAATGACTCGAAAAGACAGGTTGTGCTTGAGTGGCCAAAAGTAAGCGAGCGTGAAGGGGGTGACATAACTATAAATCTTAGGTTAGTGTTGCCCCTGCTTCATACTGAAGAGAACGAGGATAACGAGAGGCAGTGTTTTCAGACTGCTATATCGGTAGCACTTCTCAAGGCTCTCCGGCAATTACTTGTGAACTCCTGATTCGATGCCATCTTCGGGACTCGGACCATCTACCTTCACATTTCTGTTAAGCCTCACTAGCGTTACCGATGTCTTTGTACACCGATTTCCGCCTAGCTCTCGATTCCTCGGTCGAAAGGATCTAAAGTACTGCGGCACGGGCCAGAAGGTTACTCAGGTGATCAACCACTATCCGCTAACCGTGATAAAAGCTACTAACCGGGCGTCAATGTGGAGCTTTCCTGCAGCGTGGCTCGCTCGCTGCATGGATAATATGCAAAAAAGTCTCGAATAATTCAAGGTGTGAAATCTTTGCACCAGCGTGCAGCGTCGCAACCTGGGGCTCAGTAGTTCTTGGTCGATCCTGTGACCGACACACCAAAACATGTTTTAAGATTTGGGTCGCGTGACGTCACGCGCGCGATTAACGATGTCAAGGTCTAGACTTAATCGGGGGTTACTGTCAATGTAATTCAGTTATCTCTGGGTTATCTACCCCCAAAATAATAATAAGGAGTGTATACCCCGCTTTAGTACCGTAGTTCCCTTGCAGACTATTAACGACCATCACGACTCCAGTACTGGTAACACTCTGTACCCCGGCTTCTCTCTTCATTTTCGCTTTCATACATGTCATGGCTCTTTCTTCCTGTTCTCCAGACCACAATTCTTCATGCGTCGCCTGCCGCGTTCTACTTCTCATAGACGTACAAGTTGGGATGCTTGCAGATGCTCCAAAAGGAGTCCCATCATCAAAATCTGTGCATCAAAACATTCAGCGCATTCTCTATCAAGCACGCGCAGAAAACCACCCCCCTCGGATAATACATGTGCGCAACACTGGTGAATTCGGCGAACCAGACGAGCCAAACACCCCTGGCTGGCAGCTCATCTTCCCACCACTACCTAACGAGTTTGTAGTCGACAAGCTCAAAAATAACGCCTTCGCTGGCACGAATCTCAGCGATCTCATTTCGCCGGATGCCGAAATTGTCGTAGTGGGCATGCAGAGTGATTTCTGTATCCGGGCTACATGCAGTGCAGCTCTTGGGAGAGGGAATGAAGTTCTTTTGATGAAGGGAGCCCATGCCACATACGACAGACTTGAAGTCTGGAATGGAGGAGGCGTGACTCCAGCTTGCAGGATCGAGGCTGAAATACAGGCTGAACTAGAGGAAGCGGGCGTGATTTTGCTAGATATGAAGGATCTTCCAGGACTGTTCACAGATCGGTAACTATGGCATGCCTATCTTTCACATTTCTAGGTTGTATAATGTCTCTTGTCTTTGGGTTCAATGCAGAAACACGAGTTTAGCGTCTTTTGTCCATCCTTCTCCTTTTCTCTTCTATTACACTACTGCTTTCGTCCTAGATCTCAAAGTCCGTGACATATCAAAGGTTTCTTAGAGTTTCACTGGCCATCATCTGGTAATAATGTGATCGTATATTTGCATCCAGCATGAACCTAGCATTTGTAATTCTCTTTCATGTGGCATGCGGTATATTCTTGCCTCCGGCCAGATCCTATCATCCACCAAAATCACCGGTCGAATAATACATCATGCGTAGGATTGTTGCATACACTATTCAACTTCATACTCCTCCTTGCCGAAGTATGATTACGACAAAACCTACAAAACCCATATCATGTAACCGAAGTAGATGTTGATTAACCCCTGATAACAGTTACGTCTGTACCGGCGGTATATGCGTTGCGTTGCAAACAAATTTTGATTCCGTCCACACATGGGAGACTGGACGGAATTCGCATGTCTGAATCAAGTCCGGAAGTTCCGCCTTGAGAGGACAGTTTACCCCCGGCGTCGAAGGAACGCGGAGACAACAGTAATCCGTATCATAGGCGCTTCCCCTCGACATCGCAAAGTAGGTGTTTCATATGGGGCGGAATATCATTAGGCCCTTATTACAACAATGCTGTAAGATGCAGAATAAACTTAGATCTGAGGAGGAGGGTCCAGTGTGCAGCGAAAGCAACTTTGAAGTAAAGAATGTCACGGTCACAAAAAGCGCTCAGCATTGTTTGTTTGTTTTCAAGGCTCTTGCCAAACACCTTCCCGGCTACGACCATTTTAGGTAATCTTTTTCAATAATCTATCCAACACATCCAGCACGATGAACAGAAACAATGAGGCAGCAAAAGAATCTTTGGTTGATCCATACAAGTCCCTTCCAAGTTTCAAGGCGAATCTCTTCTGAATACAATCATCTTTTTTCTAATCTAATATTTCAGAATCAGCGGCTGAAGTTGACCACAGCAACCCCCTTTACTCCAGAATTTGTTCAGTCATCAGTAACGCAAGCATCAGATCCTGCGGGAATCTACACCAATCGTATTAAAGGTCGCCAGGTGCTGCTAGAAAACCCAGTACGAGAGAGCAGAGCAAAGAAAGAGCGCGACGAGAAGAAATCGCGGAGGTTGGCTAGTAAGAAGCGACGGGATAATGGTGTAGTAGGTAAAAGAGAAGCCAAGGAGAAGGGACTATGGAAGCTGGAGGAAGGAATAGAAAAGTAAGTCTACTGCTTTTGTTAGGACTGCGTATAATAATGCGTTGCCCAAGATTTACGTTGTTTATTCCCCTGCACCACCTTTGGATGGGATATATGTCAGAACTTCTTGGACTCTCCCCTGCGCCCACAGAGCCAACTTCAGCTCCTACCGCTCAATCCATGCCTAATGCAGGAGGGATGCATGCGAAGTTAGTCAAGGCTGATTTGCATGGCTCAATAGTGAGCGGTAAGTCATCCCTTGTAGTCCATTTTATCCGTTCCGTTTATATTGGTTTAAAGTCCGGCAGAGTAAAAATCCATGTCTCGTTGGTTTGTCCGGTATTGTGATCCATGAAACTGAGAATGCATTCAAGGTCGTCACAAAGCAAGATAAACTTAAACGTTTGTTTGTTTTATTTTTTGTTTTAGCTATTATTAATCAACTGATCTGTGCTCCGTTCTACTATAGTCATACCAAAGCAAAATTCTGTTTTTGCATTCGCCGTCCCCCTATACTCAGTATCCCCTCCTTCAATTTCAACTCAATCGTCGACGTCAGCATCAACGCCTGACTCTTCGTCGCAGGATTTGAAGACAGTACTCGACAGTGTCCATATTGAATTCGAGCTTTACGGTAATCAGTTTAGGTTCCGTTCTGCAGAGCGTGCTGGAAGAAAATTCAAACATAAAGAGACGATCGAGCTCTGAATGTATTCCGTATGATGGCCATTCATCACCTTCATGACACGGGAACAGTGTTGTAACGGTCTTCCCTCCTCGTGACCATCATACAATGAAGACGTATTGATGTCGACTTACACCCACCTCCACTCCTCAAGGCTGTTGGGGACAGACTTAGGAAAACGGACTGCGAAGTGTATTAATATATTGTAGCAATAAGTTATCTGAAGTAATCCTAAAAATGATTACAATCTACTCAGTGGATACCCTTAAGGCATCACGACTGCCATGACCAGTAGGCCATCGTAAATGAAGGATGTGATCACCCAGATCCTGCTGTATATACTTTTCCCCATGCAAGTTCTTGGAACCTATACGACGAACATCATCAGAGATGCAACTTGGAGGAAGAACAAAGCACTTACTTGTCATAAAGTGACAACACACCAGCACCGGCAACACCACGTAAGACGTTCGCTCCAGCTCCTCCTAAATACGGTATTCACGTTAGAAAAATCTGCGCAAAATGGGATCCGAAATAATGAAAGTTACATACCGAAGAGCGATTTTACACCTTCTTTGGCGACAATTTGCCTACCAGCGTCAATGAAGGATTTGTAGCGAACCTAAAGTTATGACGTCCGTAAGGATAAACATGAAGAAATGGGCTTCAGACTTAAAACAAACACGTACCTTTTCGCCAGATGTCATCATCATCCTTCTACGAATTGTATCCAGAGGATAAGCAGCTATTGCAGCTCCCTGTGTGAAAACGTGTATCAAAACCCAAGGCGAATCAAGGCTACACGTGACGACATACGGTAGTGCAAACCCATCCTACAGCGAATGAAGCCAAGAAATTGCCTTGGAGAGGCCCAACGAGCACGGTATCCTTCACTGTATCATACCCACCGAAACTATTTATTGTTTGTCAGTAGATTGGCAAAAAGTCAGAAAAGCAGGGACAACGCACTATAGTCCTCTGTATACACAGATTCCGACTACACTGGGAACAAAGCCTCTGTATAAACCCGCGATGCCGTCTGACTTAAGCGTCTGCTTGTACACATCAACGAGGCCCGTAAACTGACGCTGACCACCCTTGGACGAACTTTTGCCATCGGCAGAAAGACGTGTGCGGGCGCTACGTGGAGCAAACGTAATTCAAACAGGAGACATCGCGAGGGAAACGTGAGAAGTGAGATTTAGTCTGGAATGGGAGTGTTGTGAATGCCCACTAGTCAAGAGAGTAAACAAAGACAGAGGATGAAGCTCCCGCAGCAGCTCCGCTTGCAATATTACCTGATTTAAAAGGCTCGATTTAGTGATCGGTAGCTAAAAGTTTTAGACGATAGTTTACCAAATACCCAGAGGCCGAAACCTTCAGCTTTCTTAAATCCAAACATCTTCTTGAAACTATCCTTGAAAGCAAAGTTCAAAGCCTGGGTCGGGAAATATCTAAGGACGTTGGTCCCGTTGCCTCGCCAAACTAAGAACACGATATGCTAAAGTTGAATATAACGAGAGTGATCATGGTCTGAGGAACGTACAGCTCTTGCCACCTTCTTCCGCCAAAGTCCGTCTAAAACATTCCGTTATTCCGCCATAGGGACGGTCCAGCCTTCCTGCAGCGATCATAGCTCCTTGGTTCTGTATGAGAAGCTTGACACGTTCGATGGGTGCTGCTGCTGTTTTCGATATCGCAGCAGCAGTTCCTCCCATCATGAAGTCCACTTCAGAAGGGAATGTCAGGACACAACTGCGCAGACAAGACAAGGCACACACGCACCAAAGAATGCAGATGCATCTGTCGGTTTAGAGGACTTCTGACCAGACATTGAATTGAGTAGAGGATAAAAAGAAAGAAAAAAACTGAGTGGGGATGAGGGAGCTGTGGTAGGGCTGCACAGTGGTCTGGTGACGAAAACGCCGTTTATATACCCTTCGGGACCACTATATCTAGGAAAGATACGGAACGTTGTCTAAAAATTCGTAGTGATAATGCTGTGCGCACTGTAGAAGCCCACCACGAGTTGCCAGCAGATAAACGGCAAATCTCGCTCCGCGCTCGTCCGACATGTGCTAAACCTTTTTGAAGGCCTTTTCCACAGTGATATTCAATCCCATAATGCTGGTTAAAATACTTTGTCTGCAGCTATCGTGGGCAGGAGATGCAGAGAATCCAAAACATATCTTCATGGAGGTAAACTGCGATCTTTCTCGGCTGAAAACCCAGAAATGTCAAATTGTCCATTTTGCACTCAATCTCCCACGCCTGTATATCCAGTAATGGTAATCATCTTGATTTATCCCACCCCAAAGCTTGAACGTCTGCAGAGATGTAAGTTTCTTGCTGACCTTGACATGACTCAAGCCTTTCATCGAGTCTACAAAGTTAAGGACACCATCAAGTACTTCCAAAGATATGAGATTTCTTACTGGTATACTGTGCGTTTTTTATACTCTTACTTCAACGTCAATGTTAAGTTTTTTTTGCATATCGAATGGGACGCCGCCTGTGATCAGGCCGAAGTCGTAATTAACACGATGTGAGTCCATATTAAGTACTGGCTGTTATGATGATAATTTTTCACAGTCATTTGACTCTACTAGAGCGTAAGCTGTGTTTTCTGCTGGTTTCAGGTTATTCACTACATCACTCAGACATATTTTCCTTTCGATTTGTCAATAATTTCACTAGTATGTCACCCGAAATGAACAATATATATCCAGGTAATAATGATATAACTAATGGTAATCTCAATACAGCCCAACATCTCCTCTACCCAAAATACAGATGACCTCCCAGAATCAAATAATAAAACAACAGCCAGGAATAAGAACGAAGGTATAGTGAGAGCGAATGATGCTGGTCATGATGTACAAATGTGGAAAAATGATGCTATCGCATTTCTAGCAAAGAGGTCCTGAATTGACACTCTCGCGAGTGTGTCGTGATCCAAGAAGTCGAAAGTCGAAGTGGCATAATGATTCTATGTGAGGGACGAAATCATTTAGTCGGTTAGCCTCTCTGAATGTGCAGAAGTTACTCACGTTATGACATTAGATAGGATGAAAGTAGCAGGTGCGTCAATTAATGTCACTTTAAGCGACGACACAGTAGGAGTTGCCTCCAGAGCTTCCAGAGTCCTCATCGGTGGGAACATCAGGTGCAAGGTTGGTTTCCTCAGCCTTGGATGTGGTGAAGTAGGTTGCGATGGCAGTGAAGGAATCCATTGATTTATAAGAGCGGAGGATGGTTAGAAGGCGAGGAAGTGTGTCGAAGAAGGTACAACTGCTGGAAGAGCGAAGAAGTGCTGTTGAACTTGAAGAAAATCTGTACTGACCGTTCATCCTTTTATAAACCAGCCCCGCTTAGAAATGGCTTATGGACGAGTGATATCCGGGACGATTTGTCCGCCAGATTTAACGCAGTTTCCAATTGTCTTCAGCATTTTTGGGGATTTTGTGGGGTGAGACAGAGTAACAAAGCAAGTGGATGAGTTGTGATAACCGGAACTCTGTGAGGCTGTTGTTAACGAAACAATAAGTCCTCTTTAGAGAGAAGAGAGTCCACATGCCTTCACCGCATCTGTGATACTGTTCTTCATACATGTTAACAATAAGGACACAAAATGGATCTCGATCATTACCATAAAAGGAAATCAAGCCCCAACGCCGGACAAAAAGAAAGGCTGATTCGAGCGGAAGCTCAAAATCTTGCAACAAAGTTTGTACTTCTGTTACGGGTCCAGTGCCAGTGTCTGAGAATTTTCATGAAAGTCGTGTTCATTAATCGCATCAATCACATATTGATAACTGTGGACTGCCTTTCAGTGAACACTGTTATGACCAGTCTTAAGCCACCAACAGTAAAGTGTACCAAACGTGAACGTCACCTGTTTGATGTATGTCTAAAGATGTTTCAGACTGGTCAGATTATTCTTCCAATTTACCACTCTACTGATGCATAGATAAAGATAAGTAGCATGTATTTGTATTGCGCTTGAGTCGGTACTGTTACTGCTCTTCAAATCATGGAAGCAATTAAGCGTTGTATGTCCGACTGATGAAGTACAGCTTCCGTGAGACAAGAGCCGGGGCCCTTGTTCAAAATGCGACGAAAATGTATTTTCGCAGACGTAAGTCGATGCCATACCGCCGGGAGGTAAGTGGTTGCTACTCGAAGAACTAAACCAAATAGGAAATTCGCCTTCCGAAGGACGAGCACATGCAAGCCTCGTTTAAGGTGCCTGATGACTTCAGAAAACGGAATCAAGTTTGGTTCCGGCATCTAGCGACAAAGCTTTCCTATCGCCAACCACTTGAAGGGTGCTGACAAGAGACAGGGGACTCACATTTGAAACAAAATTTGAGGAACAGATACAAGATAGCTACGAGCCCATGTGTGTGACTGAAGACCAGACCTGTAAATTTCAAGTAGTTATGCTGGTGCCACTGCAATAAGCCAGTTGAACTTAAAGTTGGAAAGACAATACGGACGAGCGTCACCAGATAAGTCACTTTAGCTTGAGATCAAAATAGCTCATAAGCGAAGAATCATACTTGAGGATTGATTGTCATTATCATGTATAAAAAACAATAGAGTAGAACACTCGCCAAATCTATGTCAGAAAATCTCCATGCGGGTGAAACAATCCACAACGCTTGTTACCTCCACTTCCGGAATATTTAGCAAAATCTAGACTTTGCAAGGAGCTTCCTTTTCGTGATTTTGTCTCTGTGATGATAATGCAGACTGCACCCGATGACGAAGGTAGGGTAAAATAAACCTCACAGGTGGAACTGAGCTCAAATTTACTTCCACCATGAAGGAGAAGTACGCCCATTTCCCAATGATGGTAATAATGTGACCTGGAGTGACTTCGTTGACGGGAGTTCGCCATAGCGAAAACCATTTTCCAACTGACAGATATTAATGAAACGGTGCTTCACAGTCGACTTTACAGGCTCGTATATTATTCACCAGAGATCATGGACAGTGTTTCGAGAACTTGATTGCTGGGGCAAAAACTAATGGGGCGGGGTGTCAACGTACAACTAGCAAATAATGCGTACCACGCGGAGTCCATTCAATGAGACTAAAAATCCAGGTTATACATAATAATGAAATAGAAATCAGGACGTACAACACACGAAAGTTAACACTAATAGAACAACCAAGACCCAGACGAGATGGTGTTACTCAAAAGTCCGTTATTCAGAATATACAGGGAATCCGAAAGAAATGCGTGCCGACGCGAAAAGTAGCATGATTAGCGAGACGTCCAACATCCCATGAGATCCATAGATCAATCCTCCAACTCCTCTGTGAATTTACTTTCAACAGGTGCAGGCCCAGGCGCACTGGATTTAGAGGCAGGCCTCTCTTGGCCATCGCTAGCCTCGGTTTCGACAGGTGCTGCACCACCGTCATCATCCTCCCTATCGTCTACATGTGGAGATCTTCCCTCGGGAGCCTTCTCCTGCTGACGCTTACTAGGTCTCCTCGTAATATTAGCAGGACCAAGTGCATCATGATCGTGATTTAATGACGTGCTTTTTTCTGGCTGAAAGGTAATCAGGGATGATGTGTTAAAACAACGCGCCTAAAACGTACCGCATATCCATTCTGACCCGCCTCAATCCCAGAATTCTTGGCCGGATGAGAGTAAGAGGGCGGACCATCCTCTTCATCTACTACAGCATCTTGGTATAGGTCATCCTCATCATCTTGCTCCTCTTCCACGCTAGAACCCTCGTCGTCTTCATCTTCCTCCTCGCTTACATATCCCGCCGCACGAACAGCAGCTTCCACCGGACCACCACGCTCCATAGATTCACTAGCAACGAGATACCTTGCACAGAGCATTCTGATATCATTCCACCACTCCATCATATCATCGCGACTGCGTGCCCGGAAGGACCATGCATGCTGACCGCCTGTCATGGGAAGCTTGAAAGACCCCGATTTCGTCGTACCAGTACCATCTTTGCGACCTTCAATGTGAAATTTATGCGACTTGGCGAAGCTCGACGAGGGAGGGCCTAGTGTGCAAGCCGGAAGAAAGAGAGAAAATACTGGCACATGTCCACCACTGTGTGCAGGGTCTGACGAGTTATACTCATGAAGGAAACCCGCAGGAGTGAGAACGTAATATGCTTCGCGGTAGGTACGTGTGAAACGTTTCTTGCGTTCGAGATGGCCGGTGTGTACCGCGATCACAGATGGGTCCTCTTTTGATGGATAATGAATAGTTTCTGGGTTTCGCAGAGGAGTTTCTGGATCGAGAAGATGATCCGAGCGTGCAGAAAAAGATATCCATTCGCGATCCGGGGCTAAAGACGACATGTGTGTGCCAAGGCTATGCCACGAATCTTGTACGGAGCTGGACATTCGAGACTGCCATTCATCATAGGTCTGCCAAGCTGACTGAATTGCGCGAACGATGCCTTCCTCAAAATGTGCTGAATTCTGTTGCATAATAATGATTGATTTTTGTAAAGCATTTTCTTCGTGTACTTGTTTTTGAAGTTGACGCATTACAGCCATATTGGAAACATACCTGAGGCCCATAATGAGAGGAGTCGCAGTAAAACAATATACGACTTACGGATCGCTTTTGCTGTTGACATTCATAGGCGTATTTTTGAAGACTGATATGCTAGTAGAAAGCTCGCCTACATATCTGGTAGAAAGTTCCCTCTCTTTCGCAACACTAGTAGCTAGCTTTCCCGTATCATTCTGAACATTCTAAAGACACCGTAAGAATATGATCGGAGTATTGATTGCAATAAATACCTTTATATGGGCTTTGATTTCTGACCTCAATTTTTGAAGATGTTGGACTATGGAACTATCAATTGTGCGGCCTAAGTTGGCATGCTGGTCAGCGATTGCACGACTTTTATCCCGTATCCCATAGTAGATGTCCTGGAGAGAAATATGAGCATGAGACCCTTTGAATCATGCTACGACGCACCTGCAGACCACCTTCTCCTAGAAATTGATTGCCAGAGCGAAAAGGAACCTGGATGACGGCACCGAGTTTCGTATATTCTTTTGCGATGTTGTTTTCGATATCCGCTATGCCTTCAAAGTAAGCGACGAGCTGTTTCACGATGATTTTCCATGCGACAAAGCGCTCGATAAGAATGTCTGATGGTCGAAGATCTTGAGGTGCGACATTTTTCTTGATAAGAGACTGGCTGCGCGAGACTGTAGACCCTTGCTTGCTGGCTCTGGAGATAGAAGTCGCGCGAGATATGCTTGCGGCTTCGTTATTGAACATCAGTAGGACAACTACGAGGCTGGGGATTGAGTAGAGGACGAGGGGGAGCCGTAGTAGACGAAGACGGCGAGCCGAGGCAAGGGCACTGTTGATTTTATATGGACAGGTTCCAACGACGTCATCACGCAGCGTGACCTTTCTGGAAGTCGTGACATGGGCTAGAAGTCACACAGTTACAGTCACCTGTTCCTATCCAAATTTTCTGACAACTGAATACGTGGTCTCTTTCCTCCAAAATGAACTCTGGTATACAAAATCTTCTCATCTCCCTCGGGGCCATGCAGGGTATGTTGCCTGCTGTTGAATAAGTATTACGCTCATGTCTCTTTAGTGGCCCGCAGGATACCATTTGATGACCCAGAGGTACTCAACTACGTTCGAGTAGGGTACATTGCAAGCCAGCTCGTCATACTCGGTGCTTACTTCTATGTATCGCACAAGGCATGCATTTCTGGCTTTCAATGTTGCTGAATTCCCAACTAACCACATTTCTGACAGGTCAAGCAGAAGAACGACCAGACTGTCCTCAAGTATGGTGGGTAGCTTATCAATGACTCTCACCATGGTATTTTTACTTACTCTCTCTACCAGTTGAGCCGCAAAGCCCTATGGTGAGTTTCTCTTATAGTTGAGCTGTATCCTATGCCTCAATCATTACCAGTCACCCGACTCTGGAGGACTCGTCACCACCACTGTAAGAGATTACGACCTATCCGAGACGTCGAAACTCGTCAGTATACATTTATTTCAGTTATCCAGGAGTGTTTATTGAAATTTTTTCATATCATCTAGCTACGTTCAGCGTACTTTGGTATCGCTATGATGACCTTCTTCCACATCTACATGAAGTACACACAGCCTCTTTTCATCCAAGCTCTCATGGGCCTCAAGAACCTCTACGACGCCAAGCCAGTGGCTATCCACATTCTTGGCAAGCCTGCTGAGGGAGACCTCAAGAGACCATTCAAAGCTGCAAGCATGTTTGGAGGTAGCACATGACCTTATCTTTCCAATTTGATCTTACTGAGCCTTTTTTTTTTAGCTGCTGCTGCTGGACCACAGACGGACAGCGCCGCCATCGCTGAGGCAGAGAAGAAGATTGGAGCGAAAAAGGAAGAGTAAGCGAACGCTTGGATTAGATACTCTGCTATCATGGCTTGAATTACATGGATATATCGTGAATTCAACTGTTTCTGCTGCTCTGAACATTGCTGTGACTTGTAAACGTTGGATGACCCGTACAAAAGATGCTCATACCAACGGACTCTGTAACTCTGCACTGCTCTAACTTTTACAGAGCAACTGCCGGTAAACGAATGAAATCTAGTGTATTATGCTATGCAGCCTGAGAAAGCACAAATGCCACGGCATCTAGTCCAAGTTGTACCCAACAAGACTCCTCCGACCGAGAATCTCCCCAATCTTAATGATACCAAGGACTGTTAGCTGATATCCCATCTAACGTGTCATTCAAGGTATAACTTACTTTGAATATACCATACGCCTCTACAGCATAAATGCCTACATTTGCCCACTCCCCGGTGCGCATGATTTCTCGCCAGTATGCTGGGTTCTTGGCACGTCCCCACATTGTCGAATACGCGTCCGTGATAGTGTGAAGAGAGGTAGGAGGTTGTAGGCGTTCAGCAATGTAAACTTGTTTTAACAACTCCCGAGCCACAGTATAGTTATACGTGATAGGCTGACGATATGCTGGTAAAGAAAAATAGAGATAAAATATATGTAAGAGACAGATTTTTTTATGACAACAAATACACGAAAAAGACATACACCCGAGCATCGTGCCAGCTCTTTCACCGAGAGGACCTAGGAGCTTCTTGGTGGTCTCCCAGAGCTTCTCCGCATTTTTCTGTGCACTCCCTAGCGCATCCTGGGCTTTCTTTTGTGCGTTCTCCGTGCTCGTGCTGGCGAACCGCTGAGAGTGTGCAGGAAGCCGACGAGGACGTAGGGCCTGACGGAAAGCAGAGGTAGACACCGCAGAACGCATTACAGGGAACGGCCGATACGATATGAAAGGGGACAGAAAGAAATATTGTGAGGAAGCCCGACGGTGCAGACGGCGATGACGGGAATAACGAGGGTGGGAATATTTTTTGGGATGTATCCGGATTTGTCCGACTGGTTATCAAGAGCTCTGCCTTTTAATCGTACCTCCAATTACATTTGATCTTTTAGATCATGGCTACGTCCATCTACAACCTCAGGTAGCGCCTTGCCGTACCACTATCCATTCCGAATTATAAGTAAAGTCTACTATCGAGGAATTCAAAGATCTATCAGTACACGAGGTGCGCCCAAACCCAACCATACGCTTGTAGGCTGCCCGCCTCCACCACCACCACCACAACAACCATCCAACCACCGCTCCAAAGACATAACCACCGCCGAACGCCATCGCCCGCCACGTTGCTGAGATGGCGGAGGCTCGGCGCCAACTCGAAGAGGAGCGATTAAGCTTCTCAGCTACAACCGAAAACTTTACCTCTGTCGGTTTCCATATCGCAATTTAGTCACTTTGAAATATTCTGGCGCAGGTTCTAGGATCAAGTGGGATTGGCCTGTCACTGAGAATATGTTCGATCGAAATAGATGTCTCAACAACCTGCCAAGGATATAGTGGACATGGTGAGACCACCGCTGGATGGCGAGTCGAAGCTGTTACTCTCCGCCGTTGTTACAGTTCTCCCTCAATTCTAGACGAGAGAAGGCGAGATACACGAATCCGCCAAGCTGTTCTTCCCCGTGAATGACTCTGTTACCCCGTACGTAACCTAGAATATCGAGTTGGCTCATTTCGCTTTCGTTGCTCCCCACTCGGTGTCACCGCGTGAGCGTGGACAATTAACGGAGGGGGAGACGCGTCGCCTGGTGCTCGACTGGTTCGAGACATTTTGGACGAAGGAGGTTGACAAGCTTGACTGCATTTGCTGTTGACATTCCGCTATATACAACATTACACAATAATACATTTACCTAATACCATATCAAAAAAAAAACTATGGAAAATTATAAAGAAATGGTTCCCTTCGTGTTGTTCCACACACCTATCGGGTCATAACTAAAACGATTTCCCTGGCTCCCCTATGGCGAAGTTGCCCACAAACGCGGTCACGTGGGATGGGGTGAAGGGCTTCTACAGGCCGGCTTTTGCCGTAAAGCAGCCCTAGTTCACCGCTTCTCACTCAAAAAGTAGGGCTGACTTTCCATAGTCTCTTCGACTTTAAACCATCATGTCTCGCGAAATCATCAATATACAGGTGCGTCCATATGTCCTAAGCTTCTCCACAAGCAATTTTACTGACTGCTCTGTTGCATTCTAGGCTGGCCAGGTGAGTACAGTCCCCCTGGACAGATGCACGTCATGATTTGATGAATATCAGGCAGGGAATCAGATTGGGGAGAGTTTTTGGAATATGCTGCTGGCTGAGCATGGTCTTGATCAATCTGGGGTAAGAACTGCAGATTGGTCTGCCATAGCTTCACTACTGACGCTTATCACTCTTCTACGTTTGATGTTACAGCTATATCAAGGCGATGACCCTCTGCAGATTGAACGGGTCAGTGATCTAGTGATGTGCCCCGTTTTTAGAGCATCATTTATCTTATCCAGGCTGGTGTATACTTCACTCAAGTGGAATCCGGTGGTACCACAAAATATATTCCTCGCAGTGTTCAGTTAGATCTTGAATCTGGCGTTTGTAATCATGTTTGTGGTATTTCGTTGTCTGGCTGCCGCATGGGTTTATAGCATCTTAGATTCGTTCCGGCCCCTTGGGACATTTGTTCAGGCCTGACACATTCGTGACTGGTGATTCAGGCGCTGGGAATAACTGGGCTAAAGGATGTTCGTACATTCACCATAGCTCAATCCTGGTCATGACTCACTCCTTATTTGATATCACTGGTCGATAGACTACACGGAAGGTGAGCTCTGAAGTCAAGATTTATGAACGTTGGTTTCACATATGTTCACAGGAGCCGAACTGATCGACAACATCTTGGATATCCTCAGGAAACAATCAGAAGCCTGCGAGGCTCTACAAGGATTCCAGATCCTCCATTCACTTGGCGGAGGCACTGGTGCTGGCTTGGGATCGCTTTTATTGTCGAAATTAAGAGAAGTACGAACTGCTACTTCTCAGTGTGGTACAGATTTTTCAAGTGGATGTACTAGGAATATCCCGACAGAATGCTTTCTACATTCTCAGTTTTGCCCTCACCGAAGGTTAGTAATATATGCTAAACTTGTAATGGAATCTTATTCCGCTCGGGCTCCATCTTTTACAGGTATCAGAGACGATAGTCGAGGTAAAGTTGTGTTGTTGTAACGTTCATCAGCTTGGCTAAGCATTTGTTAAGCCGTATAATTCATTGCTGTCAATACATCAACTAATCGATAATTGCGATCTGACAATCAGCATTGATAACGAAGCTCTGTAAGTGCGAGGCTATATAATTTCATTACTTCTAATCGAGGATGATGTTGGAATTAGTTATAACATCGCGACAGGAACGCTGAAGATCAAAAGTCCTGGCTTCGATGACTTGAACCAGGTGAGAATATTCCAATTTACTGAAACCATCAAATCACTTACCTCGAACAGCTCATTGCCAAAGTAATGTGTGGCGTAAGTACGAGCTTACGTTTCCCTGGTCAGCTTAATGGGTATGCAAAGTTCAAGGAGTTCGACAAGGGCAGACTCTGACTTCGTGTATTGCAGCGATCTCCGGAAACTTGGGATGAACCTTATCCCATTTCCTAGGGTAAGTCCTACAAAGGCTCGTGCTACCACACGACAGCGAAATTCTGAATTTGGGCTATCAGCTTCACTTCCTCATGCCAAGCTATGCTCCATTTTACGATCCAAAAGCGCGCGCATTCCAGAAGATGTCTGTTCCTGAGTTGACCTCGCTGTGCGTTTGTAAGTTCTGTATGATTGTGCTATTGGTGCTTATTCTTTTCTAGGCTGTTTGACAAAAAGAGTCTGTTGGTGGCTTGTGATCCGCGATTTGGGTACAGTCACAGTCATTTGCCCAAGCTAAACTATAGACTGATAACTCATAGTCGGTATCTTACTTCTGCAACGATTTTCAGAGGAAAAGTATCTTCCAACGAGGTGAGTCAATCCTGCAGCTATGTGTAGGAAGGTTCTCTTAGGTTCACAATTTTACAGGTGGAAGTATGTCGAGATTCTTTTCATCTATTAAATCAATTATTTAAAGTTTCACAGACCTCAGTGTTGCAACTTCAGCGGAAGAATTCACAGATGTTTGTCGAGTACGTCTGAATAAGTTCAATCTTTCACACGCGAACCTGACCTGGTTCTGCGGCTAGGTGGATTCCTGACAATGTGTCTGTTTCGCTCTGTTCCGTTCCGCCTGTTGGGCAGCCACAGGTAATGTGCCCTTTGATAATGCCTGATGTGGCTGCTGTTGAAAGTTTTTGCAGGCCGCCACCGCATTAATGAACTCGACATGCATGCAGGAACTCTTCAAACGTAACCTTGATCAGGTGTGACTCTCCTTTCGTTATATTATGTCACCTGTTCCACTAACATGATATGCGGTCAGTTCACTCGCATGTTCAAGCGACGTGCCTTTATTCATTGGTATATTGGAGAGGGCATGGACATGATGGAGTTTTCTGAAGCAGAAAGTAATACACAGGATCTCATGTACGTAGTAAATTCATCATTCAGGATTTGTTCTATACCGATCACTTCTCTACATCGATGCAGTTCGGAGTATCAACAGGTAAGTCATCTGATGTTGTGAGATGGCCTGGCTTTACGTATCTGATAACCACGTCGTTTCTAGTATCAAGAAGCCACCACAGAAGCAGAGGAGGAAGTCGAAGAATACGAAGTCGAGTCCGAAATTGATCAATAATGCACACTAGAGAATGCGACGCCCCAAAATTACCACCTATGCTTACATTTACATAGACATACTACCTGGGACATTTTATATTCGACAATCACGTCAGGAATCTAATTACATTTTGGTATGGTGTGTATTTTGTCTTCGCTGGAGCCACTATTGACCTCTATGAATATCAGATTGATATATACATATATATATATTGTGACACGCTCTGCGGATCTCATCATCAATGCAACCATAACCTGGTAGCTCCACTACTTTACTTAGAGATGTGGACATCCGCGGAGGAAATGAGCGTGGCTGGTGAGCAGGCTTTCTGGAGGTATCAAAGCTGATCGGAGCGAAGGGTATCAGTTGATTCTTTCAATATTAAATCACGGGGCCCCGCATTGAGTCCATTTAAGCATCAGATCGTGGTCTCAATGTCAAAGGGATCTCACCCTCGTCGACGATAAGCCCCTCAGGTTTTTGTTGCTGACAGTTGTCTGCTCCTTGTTTTCAGACATCCCGAATATTTCGCCGGCTAATACCACGCTAACAAAAGCCTGTATCCTTATTTTTAGTGACCTGGGCTGAAAGATAACAAGCTCGATTTCCCGCGCGTTGCTGATTATTGGGGCTTCATAGACTTTGCAGCACTTCTAAACTTGAAGGTCTCGGAGGAATGTCGGGGTAATTATATTAGTCAAGACTAAGGGGCACTACTCTTCGTTTCTCTCGTGACGTCGGAAACGGACCGCAAGGTCTAAAAACGAAACTTTCAGTTACTGCCCATTGACTTAAAAAGAGCATGCGACCTGTACGGTAAGCTCACCCTTATCAGCTTTTTAAGATGTCTTTTGAATGGCCTGCTCGTTTTGTTGACCTGAAGCACAAGATTGTGGCTTCCACGCCTGGCTATCAGGAACGTCTCACCAGTTCCTGGGTCGACCTTCTCGCTGAACTTGAGAAGCGTTCACAAGAAGTTGTCAAAGAGGGACCCAATGTAAGTTATCAACGAAACTTTCATAAAACTGTATACTGAGCACCGCTTGGTGCAGTATATCCCTCAGGTCAAATTCGCAGACCTCGAAAAACTTGCGCCAGAAGAGGTTGACCTTATTCGCCGCAAAGGCTCAGTTGTGATTAAAGACGTCGTAGATGACAATGAAGCGGCCAGCTGGAAGACTGCACTAGAAGAGTTCATCAAGGCCAACCCTCACGTAGAAGGTGAGAACCAACCCCTACAAGCGAAATTTATTCGTTAACCTGGCTTAATTATCAGGGTTCCCGGAGCATGATAAGCAATTCTTCCAGCTTTAGTAGGTCGTTTTTTGCTGCGATTGATAATACAGATACTAACATATGTGTACTTAGCTGGACGAGATCTCAAGTGCGCGCTCGCGCTCATCCTAACGTTCTCAAAGCCGAGGCTTGGCTTAATAACTTGTACCATGTCAAATCGGGCGCCACAATAGAGGGAGTTGACCTCTCTACCCCTCTCGTATACGCAGATCGATTCCGTATTCGTCATCCAGGAGTACAGTGGGATGCTCACCCTCCTCACGTAGATGGTAGGTCTCAGTGTCTACGAAAAGGCTGTGGCCTGACTAAACCTTGCTCCATAGGTGGTGCTATCGAGCGTTGGGAAGACGCTAACTTCCGTCGTTGTTATGCGGATATCCTGAGCGGTAACTGGCGCGAACATGACCCCTATGAATTAGAAGGTCGTCTGGATGCTCGTAGCTCTCTCTATGGTAGACCTGGCCAGGTATGTTTTTCAATTGACACATTTGATATTAAATTTAGTTTTGTCTTAGGCCACTGTATTCAGGACTTTCCAAGGCTGGTTGGCTATGAGGTATGTATATGCGCTCAATCCTGCAATCACACGCAATGACACCAGAACAGCGAAACTGCCCCTACTCAGGGAACTTTAAGAGTATTCCCTGATGTCGCTTTGTCGAACTCGTACACCATTCTTCGACCATTCTTCAAACCTACCGTACCCCTTGATTCCCCAGATATTCTTGATGCAAAGAACTGGGTATTCGGTGGGTTTATGTCCATACTTGATTTTGCACCAACCTAACAGGATGGAGAAGACATTTCGTCACCGGAATTTCCAGGAATCCAGCCCCGTGACAATGGATTCATTGGTCCGCGACCTACACCCGACTTGCACCCGCATCTCCGACTTCATGAAACCATGACTTCTGTACCTAAGGTCAATCCAGGAGACATGGTCTTCTGGCATTGCGTAAGAGCTCTTCAAACTTCTAGCTGTAGTAATCGTCTGACTCTGAGACCAATCAGGATGTTGTCCATTCTGTTGAGCAAGAGCATACCGGCACAGGTGACTCTGCAGGTACGTCGAACGCCAAACTGGATTCTTGACAACAAGTAAGGTTTACGTCTCCCTATAGTGATGTACATTCCCGCTGTGCCAAAGACTCCCATGAACTCGGACTATGTGAAGAGGCAGGCGGAAACTTTCCTTGCTGGTATCAATCCTCCAGATTTTGTCAAGAGCAAGGAGGGAACGGTTTTCGTGGGACTCGGAACTACTGAGGATGTTGTGGAACCCATAAGTAGGATCGCTATGGGTCTTCCTATCGAAGTTGCATGAGGGGACGACTGTAGCGCCGTAACCCAAAGCTCGTCAATTTTCCTGTTCATTCTTGTTCCCGTGTTTATGTATACGGTCATAATATGATGTATTCAGCTTGTATTTGGCATACAGGACTCGACAATTCTCAGAAAGACTGGTCTTCTGAGGACGAGTGAGGAGAACCAAGTCTTACACCGAGCAGTCAGAAGCAAATGTGCAGTGTTGTTCTACCTTTTGTTCAGAGAGACGAATGTAAATACCGACTGGGCCGTTGGAATGCAACCATTCTTATCATTGCCGACCATGAACATTTACAGGCTGCACAAGTAAGCACCAAACACACTCCTACCATTTAGCATACGGCATGAATTTCCCACTAGAGGACTAATAAGGACGTGAGAGTGAATAAACAATTGAGAGTCACATACTCAAAGGTAAGTAGTACACGGTCTCCTTTCGGGTCCGGCTTCTTCTCCACATTGATCTTGCAGTCGATCATCGACATGATACCATCTCCAAACTAGATAAAGTAAGTGCGGTATTAGAAGTAGCCAAATCTTGCGAGTAATATCAACTAACTTTCTCGTGAACAACGGCCTAGCGATGAGGAGCTTCAGCAGGCTATACACTGATTTTGATACCAAGACACCCTTTGTATTCAAGGTATCAGACATATATAAAACCAATCAGCCGAGAGGTGGCGTACCTCGTATAAACGGTAAATGGTAGGATCAGTGGGAGGGATCGGGCCAAGGCCACGACTGGGCCACCAATGAGCCCCTAGCTCGTCCTGAATGTTGACCGTAGGAACGTCAAGAGCAATGGCAAGTGAGTTTATCTCCTCCTGAGATAACTTGGCCTGATTTGTGCGGAGGAAGTCATCAGTATGATCGGGATAGATAATTATGATTGAATAGTTACTAACGCACCTCGCCGTAGAAAGCTGCTGCTACCCATACTTCATCCCTTCCTACCGCCTTGGCAACGGCGTCGAAGCTCAGACCTGAACAATATGAGACACTTCATATTTAAGGAGAAAACTGCGTTACCCTTCCTGGCCTTGGCTTCAAATAACGCTGCACTGATAGGGGGGAGATTGGAGTATGGAGCACTGTTCGCAGATACCTTCTACGAGATGAAAGCCATATCGTAAAAACCAATGAATACGTAGCAACATCAAGGTAAGTATCAGACGTCACTGACAGCAGTTTGAGCCATGATAATAGAGGAAATGAAGGAAATGACAGATTCTTCGCGCAACGCAAACACTTTTATACATGCCAGGATATCCGGATAGTGCTCAGGATACTAGCTTACAAACTTCCTGATACACAGGGGCGAAGGTGTATTCTGTAGGCAAGTCATATAGCGGAATATGGGCATTCCTAAGAAGAAAGCGGATTGGAAATTCGGTCACGAACGGCATTCGAGGGGAACGGAGTGGTATTTCTGGGGTACCTCAAGAGGGATCCGATATCCTCGAGGATCTGTAAGGCGGCCTATCAGATAATACAGACCATCTGGTTCCATCTTTCGGGTGCTCCTTTCAGGAGGTTGTTATCGACCACAAAGTCTCCGTTCCCAGTGTCGTGGTGTGGGAGAAGTTTTCTTATGTTTGCCTACTCCCAACCAGCATGGAAATAAAGTGGAGGTGCAAAATGATATATTCATAATCTGTGGTATAAAAACATTTCTTAGTTATGCGATAAGCGTCAACAGTAGCTGCAATTTGAATAGTTTGAGATCCACGCCAGGGATAACTTGATAACAGTATACTTACTATTTCAGCACAAGAGATACGGCTTTATCTTGCCAACTAGCGGACATAATTTTTACGTAGACTTCTAGAAAACCAGATTCATTTTGTAGGAAAGTATGGGTTGGGGTCAACCTTCGAAATATCTGCTTGTATAGTGTCCGCTTTCGTTGCGTTTGGGAATGGATTGGTCGAAGTGGCGGTAGCGCTGCCTGACACAGCGACCTGTTGAGGGGGCTGACTGGAAGGGATTTCAGATTGAGGGTCCTTAGTTTGCATGACTTCACTTTCGGATAAAAGGCTTGCATTGTGCCTATAGTAGATTATCCTTGGCGGTAAGGAGTCAATAGGTGACGGAGAGTCAGGAAGAATAGTAGGCCGCAAGCGAAGCTTTTGTCTCTCTTCCGACAGTGGAGATAAAGGCGGAAAGGGACGGGATGGCAACAAGCCTGATCCAACTGCAATTTTAACCGACTCTTTGTGCGAAGGATATGATACTTCCGGCATCGTGTTTGCACGGGGGGTACGCAGTGGGTGATTCGAAGGAAGGCCAAGACCCAAGCCAACAGCTGCCTTTGCTACCCTCGTTTTGAACTCGAACTGGGGAATACCAGCGAGACTGATCGCAGATGGACGCTTGGCAGTGATCTTTACAAATGCGCCTTCCCCAGACAGTAGATTGTGGCGTGAAGCCTGGTCACAAGGAATCGCAACATCGACTCGTTGGGAGCGTGATTGGAAAGATGGACCTTTCTTCCGTGATTTACTAATAATACTATCTCCTGTATGTTGCTGCATTTCATTGGAGGCGCCCTTGCGTTGTTGCGCCTTGCCACCACGTCCTTCACTATCCGACTCGTATCCTCCATCATCAACCACACTTGGAAAACCCAAGTGAAAGCCACCCTGTCCAGGCGTTTTCTCGCTTACATGAACTAACGAGACCTGCTCCGAAGCCCGAGATGGGAGTAGGCTTGAAGCGGAGAGAACGATTTGATGCAAAGGGGTTTGTTCTTTCGAAGGTGAGTGGGGAGGCGTGATTTCAGTTTGTGTTCCTGAAGATTCTGACCCTTGTGGGAAGCAGGAAGAAGAGGAAGAGGAGGAGCTGGAGGAAAGCATCTGTTCCCCTGAGATATTAGTGACCTGCTCGGATGGCGATAAAAACAACATGATGGTGATGAGAAGAAGGAAAGATGGGTGTTTCTTACCAAATACTCAGTGAAACATCTGCAGGCTGATTTGGTTTGAATCCAAATGGGCGATGGAAATACCGACGATCAATCTGGATTAAAATAGGAGTCTAGGCTCTGGACTGAAAGAAAGGTTCTTCTTCTTTGTTGCCGACTACTAACGTTACAAAATGGATAGGTACCAATAAATTTGCATTTCTACCATTTAGCATATGGCAAAAACTTTCCGCTAAAAGATCAATAAGGGTTGGAATATGAGAAACGAATTTGATTACGACGTACTCAAAGGTGAGTAATACACGGTCTCCCTTCGGGTCCGGCTTCTTCTCAACATTGACTTTGCAGTCGATCATCGACATAATACCATCTCCAAACTTGAATGAAGAAGTGTCAATATTAGGGATAGATGAAATCTGGGACGTTGGACTAACCTTCTCATGAACGACAGCCTAGCGATAACTGATTTCAGTTATCATAAATATTGAATCGATATATCAATTACCTTAATGGCATGGCCATATACCAAAACACTCTACAGATCACAGACATGAGGTAGAGTATATGCATCAGCTGAGAAATCACGCACCTCATACAAACGGTAGATGACAGGATCAGTCGGGGGAACTGGGCCGAGACCGCGACTAGGCCACCAGTGGGCACCCAACTCGTTCTGGATGTTAACAGTTGGGATGTCGAGAACTTTGGCAAGAGAGTCTATTTCGTCTGGAGATAACTTGGCCTGATCGAAGCGGACATACGATGATCGGGAAAGATAAGCATGATCTATAGATATGTTACGCACCTGACCGTAGAAAGCTGCTGCTACCCATATTTCATCTCTTCCGATGGCCTTGGCAACATCGTCGAATGTCAGACCTAAATAAGTTGAGACGTGCTATATTGAAGTGAAGAGAAAGTGTGCTACCCTTCCTGGCCTTGGCTTCAAACAACGCTGTACTGATAGGGGGTAGATCGGCATATGGTGCACTATTTGCAGGTACCTTCTACAACCAACCTCAATATTTAATGAGCCACGTAGAACGACATCGAATATCACTCACAGCAGCTTGGGCCATTGTAGAAGAGTAAAGTGATGGGAATCTTCAGGCGACGCCTCAGAACTACTCACCTATAAAAGCCAAAGACTGTCACGGTACCCGGGATAAACCATTTTGGACGCCACTATAAGCACGTGATACATAGGAGACAAGCTGACTTAGTGATTGCACGAGGTCACATATGCAACACGCTGACATGACTGCAGCGAAGACAGGTGAAGTGTTTCTGTCGAGGTAGATAGGCGATCATGAGAAATAATGAATCGAGTTCTCAGGCATGCCGGTTGTTCCGGAACAAATAGGAATACTGCTGATATAAAGTGGAGTATGCTATTTGGCACAACAAAGACGCTGGTCGGGTGACTTGTCAGTACTCGCTTCATTTGCTAGATGCAGTGAAGCAATCGTACACAATACATCAAGTTTCCGGCTTACAGTCCTAAAACAAAGATAGCTAGACCATGTAAGATTATGATCCGGTTTCCTCCTGAGCAGGCTTCCATACGTCCTTTGTAGCGTGCATCAGCTCGTATAATTGGCCGAGCTGTTCAGGGGACATCTGAGGAGGAGCTTATGAATATCGAGCTTAAAAATAAAGTAGAAAACACAATACCTTCTCGAATACTGTAGCATCCAGTTTTTTAAAATTCTTCACGCTTGGATCCCGAGGCAGTTCGTCCAGATACATCTTCCACTGCGAGAGGAAGCCCATGACGTGGACAGGATTCGTGACGGCTCTATGCCTTCGGAATTCTATCTCCAATAATTCTAGGGTTTGAGAATAATCAAACAAATATGGCGACCACCCCTCACCTGCCCTCACATAGTCATCTCCCAAGGACCGCATCTCGATAGGGAGCCTTCGGTGTGCTCTAAGTAAGCGGCGATACAGACTACATGCACATTGGTATCAATACTGGACCAATATCAACAGGAATTGCGTACGGTAGTGGAGGCAGAAGAGTCGAGCTTGTTTCGCCGATATTCAACGGTTTAACACTGACGGACTCTGCCAAGCGCAGTAAAGTTGGGCGCATATTGTGAGTGCTTTGCGCGGTACTTTTGTGGTATGTTTCAGTGTGTAGTAGATTCTGACTTTCGGTCCCTTGTAATGATGCAAAGGCACCTAAAATCCTGGTTTCACCCAGTCTACTAAAATTGGCGAGCGGAGAAAAGCAGTTGAAATACACGTCACGTGCCACAATTCATCCTGTTATCTTATCTTAAGAGTTCTACTACCAATACAGAAAGCGTACTGAATGGTAAATGGATGTTATAAGAAGTAGTGTGCTGAGCTTGGGTGAGATTTACATAAAATCAGCGGTATATAACGCAGGAGTTAGCACCTTGATGCTTCTTGCTTCAGAGGTGGATGAGCGTGATTCGCTGGATGATGTTGAGAGTCGATACCCAGAATCCTTATACACACAATGGTGTGTGTAGAGCAGCCTGACCTTAGTGAAGGCCCGCGTTCGCGCTGCGTTTGTTGCGACAGAACAGCCGAGATCCACGGACTAGAGAAATGATTTTGAGACGACAGTGCAGGATGACGGTAAAGTTTATCATCCACCAGGAAATAGATGCGGGGCTACGAATACTAAAGCAAGGCACTAACCGTCGATGATAACTTCTTCATACAATATACCATCCCATGCACCGCCCTACTACAAGTCTTCCCCATCTCCAAACGAGAGAAGGCTTTTCCCAGCCATTTTTGGTTTCTTCTTTGTTGGTCTCTTGGAAGTATCCTTACTCTCGCTATCCGTATCTCCTATGACTTTTCGCTTGCCAGTTGACAGTTTGGATGACTTCATCCCACCCCTAGAAGATGAGAAAGACAAACTAGGCGCTTTTTCTTTCGATTTGGCTTTATCTGGTGGTGCGATTTGAGCATCGTTACCTGGAGAGTCTACAGGTTCAAGAATGGGAGGTAAACCCTTCTCTTGTTGTTAGACGATGGTTATTAAAGCTCTACATAATGATGCACTGGATATTATGGACCGCTCACCTTTCCGCCGCTCATTCTCTGCTTCCCTCTCCGTCAAGTGTTTCCCCGCTTCAGAACCACAATCTGTGGTTTTTCATCTCCTTCATCTCCGTTCGCACTTCCTGGGTCATCGTCAGGTCGTTCCGGGATGGTAGGGCGCTGTGGAATAGGTGGTCGACCAGAGCCGTCGTCGTAGTATTCGTCCTCGTCATCTTCGTCTACGTCTCCTGCTATGCGTCTCTGTAATTTCTGCAAAAATGCTGGTGTGTTCTGCTCATAATGCAATCTGGAAGAGAGCTGGTGCTTGGTTGGCTCTTTGGGTGCCATGTGTAACGCAGCGCATAAGGGTTGTACGGTGGCGGAAGCATTCTGCAACGGGGCTTCTCACGGCAACGCTTACTACCCACACTTGAAGTTGTCTGCCATCACTGTAGACGTTGACGAGCTCTAACACAACCGGTAAGACCTTTATTTCTCTGGTGTATCTACACAAGCCTCAGCATTCGTAAAGGGACACATAAACCATGCGGGTGTTGTATCTTTTTACTTTGTTGGTGTTGCCCCTACTTTCAGCACTACTAGTAGCTGCCCAGGCAAGTCTTTCATCATCCCCAGCGCTGAAATCTATCTCTAAGGTGGCATGCATCTCGTATTTCACAGTCTACGAGTGGACAAAATGCTCAGTCTTCAACATCTTCCCCTACTTCCACTGCTTCCGGGTCAAGCGCCAGTTCCTCTCCATCTCCCACCTCTTCATCGTCAGGAAACAGCACATCATCTGGAAATTCAACCAGCTCTGGAAACTCGAATTCAACGACCTCGGTAGCAGCTAGTAATTTACCTACAGCAGCATCCACTGTACCAGGAGGAAACGGCGATGGTGGTAATGGTGCCCCGAGCCCAGGTGCTAGTGCTCCTGGCGGTATCTATGGACCACCAGATGGATACATTGCTGCTGCAAATGCTCTCAAAAGAAATGCTGAAGTCGTAGGAGTCATTGGAGTTGTAGTCGGGGCCACTCTGGTTTTCATATAAGAGGTCTGATTGCTCTTACCACACGAGACTTGACGAGACTTTCTTTTGCCTTCTTCATGTCTCTTTATCTGATGCACGGACTATCATCAGTGGACTTATAAACTACATCGTATTTCAATTGCTATCGCTCCACGTCTCATCACTATACACAGTGTATGTTCTACGGACAATCGCTAGATTGCTTATCAACATCGCTTGATTTTGGATACTCGTTGAAAACCGGACTGGATTATTTCTGATGGGGCTAGAAGTGTATGGCAAATCCACTGGTATCATATGGAAAGCTGGACGTCCATAGCATCATGTCACAACACTGTAACCTAGCACATAAGTAGCTCGTTGACGTTAGACCTAATTTAAATAAAGGTATCCTAGAATTGGCTTGTAGGCCGATAAATCTACTCAGACTCCACAGGTACGCAAGCATCATTCCAGATCTTCATGACCGAAGACCAGTATCTATCAGGCTCGGCCCGCATATGCGCAACATGCGCACTGTTCTCAAAAAGTTCGGTACGCACGTTCAGGCCCTTCGACCTCGACACTTCGGAATGGTTCTGAACTTGTTGCCATGGGACCAACTCGTCCTTTCTTGAGTAGAGGTATAGTCGCGGTGTACGCGAATTTGTCCAAGGAAGTATCTGTGGATTAAACAGCGACTCTCTAAGTTGTTCCATCAAAATCTTCGTCCCAAATAATAGATAGCGCAGCCGGGTGAGAATGTATAGCGTATACACGAATGTTAGTGCAGAGATGCGAAGAAGTCGACTGCGAATAGATAGTGTAAATGCAAGCCCGAGTGTGCGGAATGTTCCTACAGCAGGGCAGGAATCGAAGATAATGACGCTCGTGAATGATATGGCATTAACTTGAGGCACTCTCTTTGAGAGGACTTGGTTGAGTGTCACCAATTGCAACGAGCCACCTGTTTATGCAAATGAGTCACAGATTAGAATAAAATGTAGAAAGTGGCTACCAACCGTTTGAAAACACATGTGTCAGTATACGTGGTTGATCATATTGTAAAGGGGCCGTCTCTTTGGTCAGCGTGTTATACTGTATGCAACCTAAGGCTTCCAAAGCCTCAACCACCGGGAATAAACGAGTGTGCTATCTCGCGTACGCGCGTAAGGAAAAGAAAACAGAGAGAAGAGAAATGCTCACCTTCGACTTCTGCGAACTCCAGAAAAATGAAGGATGACATCTCACGAGAATTCGAGTTGCACTAGGAAACAATTTGGCGTATTCTCGGGTATAATTATACAAATGACGAAGCTGAGCCCCCACTGTAATAGCGTGCTAGTCAAGATACTTGATAGACCGAACTCAAAGATGAGGACGTACTCCAACCAAAGATAATGATCACGCTGCAGTTCAAGAGATGTAGAACTCAGCAATAACGACACGAAAACAAAACAAATACTCACTCTGGAGATATGGCTGGCACGATCGTTGTATTGGTAATTCCATTTGGAGCAGAAACGGACGCTCTTTGATGAACACTGAGGTATACTCCATCGCCTATGGTTATGAAGCCAGCTCCTGCTGATCCCTTGGTAGTCATAATGGACTCGGCGGAGAGGATGAAGCCGGGACCGGTCCTTACATGGTGTTTGCCGCGGAGATTATGTAAAGCGTCTGCAATCGCTGACTCGTTCGTACTCCGCTCAAGTTTGCAACTCAAGTACGAAGTGCTCTGGCTGTACTACTGGTGAATACCGGTGGATCTTATTGGATACTTGCCATTATTACTACCCGCATGGACCTCGTACGAACCAGAAGTTTACACATGCAAAACCTAATGCCATATAACCCACTCACTTTATGATCGTGCTCTGGACTCACAATTTTATCCGGAGCATAAGGAGGATCACAATTGTACTAAGGTTCCCTCGGAAGCTGGTACTCAGTCCTCGAGGCTTTGGGCTTGCTGTTGCATGAACGATGCATGAAATACAGCAGTGGAACAGTTGGCCTCACTTATTTTTGAAATGGCGAGCCTCAGGCCTCAGGCTCCGAGTCTATTGGTGGTCGTTGGGCGCTCATCGTCTGGCTGTGCGAACCTAGTCTTGGAGCGTCTATCACAACAGTTTCTAGCACTTCCATGATGCACATGCTTTCATCGTGTTAACAGTTCAAGTGCACGACAGCTGCGGTAGATCCTCTCCATAAGGAAATGAGAAGCTTCGAAGTCATCAGGTAAGGGTTGTGCATCGTGCCTTAAAAACTGGAAGGTTCTACAGTGTCTATCGAAGTTTGACTACTACTTTGCAGGAAACATGGACTATGCTAGTAACATCCTCCAAGCTATTTGGGATATTTTCCCGTGTGGACGTCGCCGCCGACTACCACAAAAGCCTGCTTCCCCAACGTTAACTACACTTCCTCATTCTTCTGGAAACTCTTTAAAAAGTCGTACCTCGTTTGACTCGTCCCAGACACTCTCTCCAACATCGATAACATTTTCAACAGCACCTCATGTCGCTATACCATTTCCCGAGACTAAATACATTACTTCCTCACAATTCCTACGTGAGGCGTGTCCCGATGTGCATGCCCAGTGCAAAGAGATATTACATTCCTCGATCTGTGTCCCCTTGGATGATATCATTCCTCAGAGGAACGGCTTTGTCCACACGGTTTTGGAGTGTTATAATAATCACCGCGCGCTGATAATTCGTCCTGATGACGTTTGGCTTGCTATCCTGACACAGTTCAGCTGCCTCGTTAATGGCAACGCGGAAGCGCAGAGGGCATTATTTTGCCTTCATGATGGGGAAAAAGAACTGTCAATATGTTTGAAGACAAAGGAGGGTGGAGTAGACATGGAAGGTGTAGTTCACTCATTCGTTGGAGCCATGACGGAGGAGATACAAAAAAACATCATTGATCCAGAGCTTCGTCAATGGATCCTCCCGGCCTTTTCAACCACCACTGCCACAGACATTGCCATTGGTGGAATGATGATGATGGCGACAGTGAAAAAATACTTCTCTTACCACATCATGTTTTTATGTGGGATTCCTCAGGTCACACTCGAAGGAGAGAAACGTGACTGGGAGTATCTCCTTAATAGGTTGGAGAAGATCAAGGAGTTTGGACCTGAAGCAGTTGCATGGTACCATCTCCTGCACCCCATACTATCCAGATTTGTCAAGGCATTTGATGATCCTAGCAGTCCTGAAAATTATGATTTCTGGAGCAAAGTTGCAAACTTTGAGAAGTTTGGGAGTGGCCCAACTTGGCTGTCTGGGTGGATAACCGCATTCATGGTTTTCGATGAAAAGGGATGTTGGAAGGCCGATGAAAGCAAGATGGTGCGTGTCATTTTAATTGAAGAACAGTATTAGTCTAAGAAGGCTCAGTAGACCAGATACTACAACTATTATCAGCAAGATGGGGTGTTGATACTGGATGGAGTGTCCTACCCTCTTCTCGACAGCGATGAAGTCCCAAGTGGCTATGCACAAGTTGACGTGATGCTTCAATTGAAGGAAGGCGGAAAGAATTATCTTACATGCTTGGTCGCAGGATCTGTTGGTACGAGGATCTGTTCAAGTGGAGATAAGGTGTTGTCTGGTACAGGAAAAAGAGACGCCGCAAGGCCTACTCCAGCATGGTGGTGGGTAATGAAAAAGGACAAAGGGGACGAGATTACTTCAGACCCCCAGAATGTTGATTCGAAATCGGAGGACGCAGAAAAGTTCAACTTGGCTTTTGGGTTAAATAGAGAAGGATCGTTGTGGTGCTGAAAACCGTTGTATTTCATTCACACTCCATGTTGAACGTTGTACTTCGTCATTTGTACTGTTTTTTTTTTATACTCATCGTGTAGCAAGCATAGTTTGTGCCGTGGATGCTGAGTCCTCGAGCTATAAAATAAAAGTCTGGCGGGCTGGAGCCTACTTGACGTTATAAAGGTCCTTTAGCAAAATAAAGTAGTTAGTACAAATCACTCACATTGAAATAGACACGCTAGAATAAGTAGAACTGCGTGCTTCATTCATTAGTCTCGTTCAACACAATGAGCGATTGTTAAGCGTCTATCACCTGCCGTTTCTGCGCAAGTCACGGTATTTCAAGTTCTCGTGTCGTCGTTATCTTTATGGCTTTGCCATTAACGATGCATCCGCGTGGAACAGATGCTGTTATAGGGTTCTGTTTCGGAAGAGCTCATCAGGAGACTTTCTCGTTTCCTTGTTCTGTCATAGCCTAAGGTGAGCACTACAAGTATAATTGCAATGGCGGTCCCTTGTATCAAGTTCTCTTAAATACACACCTTCCCTCACAATTTCGTGAAACTGGATATTTCGAAACAGCACGACCCAAAGTCTTCACACCCATGACTTACTCGTGGTTCAACGCACTGTGGTCTTGGGGCTCTGAGCTACTGGGTGTCAACCGCGCTACCGAAGGCGAAGAAAATAGCGTGGCTTTTGCTCAGTGGCCCCCAGTTGATGCGCCTTGGTCGCGTGAGGGACACATTCCGGTTCAAGCGTGGTCTTGTCAGATCGGTACTGATGATGGGTCTGGGTGAGTAGTCAAGTGCTTTCCCCCAGTACATCTGACTGAGACAACACAATGAATCATCTCCCTTAAGATCAAAGAAACCAATAGTACCACAGTCGAACAACGTGCCACCTTCTCTGCAGCTAGTACCGGGTCAAACAGCGACGCGGTCGATGAATGATAAGACTGTGTAAGTCAAATCTATATTTTAACACTCCACGTCTCACTGAAAGCACGCACCTCAGGTCACAAGTCTTGCCTCATTTGATTCATCATCCTGATATTTCACCACCCAACTCGGTACCACTATTCCAACCCCCAGCTCCAACCTCTGAAACGAAAAAACCACCTAAACATCGCTGGCGGCTAGCTGATGCCCGTGCTTTCATTCAAACGGGAGTTATAAGATTGGCACTGGTAGAAGATTTCCATGACCTTGACTTCATTGTGATATCACATACATGGTCAGACAGCATGAAGAAATGGAGAGATATCCTTTCCTCTGTCAAAAGAGGGCGCACCTACGAAGAAAGGATTGCCCGCGGCTCAAACCATATCTGCACCAGTATCAATTCCAAAGACAAAGACTATCAGCACATCACTCATGCCCAACTATTTTTCACCGCAGTTGCCTTTCTTGTCCAAACTAGGGGCAAAAAGTTCTTCTGGATGGATATAGTCTGCATCGACCAGGATAATTTGTCCGAAAAAGAGTACTTCGTACCTCAGATGGGGGTCCTATACCGTGACTCCTTTGAAACCCACGCATACCCTCTTGGAGCCGAATTTGCGTCGAGTGTCTTCAGCGACGAAGTCTATCACCCAATCTGGGAGACAAGGGCTTGGACGGTACAGGAACACATACTATCTAAGAGAGTATTGTTTTGTTACCTATTTGAAGGAGACGCCACAGGAGACGTGAGGCATGTCAACGGATCACCAAATTATGACGCGAATGACGTTGATATCGAGCTCGCATCTCCAGTTTTGGAGAGATACAAATACCAATCTGGCTGCTATCTCCTCGAGAAGGGAGTCACATTCACATGCCATATGGAAGACGAGTCCTGGGGCGGGAACCTATCCCTGACCGCTTATATGAAGGTGGAGATTGGAGAAAGGACTAACTGGGGTCAAGTAACCAGGGTTCTAGGCCGTGGTACGCAGTACAAGGCCTTATATAGTCTGAGGAGGGAACAGACATGGAATCCGTTGGAAATCGCGAGATTATCGATGGTGATGATAGGAGAGCGAGTTTCAACGTGGCCAGAAGACATGATTTATTCAGTTATTGGCGCGCTGAGGGTAGAAAATCTCAGTGTTCGATATGGAATTGGGTTTGAAGAGGCTAGATTGTGCATATTCGAAGCTGTGGAACCAAGGATACTGGCTCAAATCATCGGCACGGACTGGGGATGCAATAGGGAAACCAGAAATAATGACTCAGCACTCCCAAGGGTGACAGGATCCACGCCCGTCGTAGGAATACAGTCGCTGACATCTTCTATTCTGTACTGCAAGTTCAACAGGAGCGCCGGAACAGAGATTCATTGTAGAGTCAACAGGTTCAGGATTTGGAAAGCTGATGCAAATATCAGACAAAGCCTTGGCGTCCTGCGACCATTATTAGGTAGTAAAACGTCCAGGCTCATGCTAATGTATGGCGTCAGTATACTCGATGATCCTGACCTATTATCCATCCCATTCTCGTCTATCCCTCCGACCGAAATCAAACCAATCATATTCGATGCAGCTGGGATAAACATCAGCGACGAAGAATACCAAAATGACGAGTTTGTGATCGACAGGACCCTGGAATTATTGGAGATTGGGGTGTGCCAAACTCATGCATTGTTTCCGGATCATGGTGACCTTGGGCTACGGTCAGCTTTATTGACGCTGGGCTGTGAGCGATTGGAGTCCACGAAATTCAGGAATAAAGGAACAGCACTGGTCATGGATACCTCCGCATTGACAGGAGATTATTCTGTTAACATGGTCCAGTGAGTGAACGTAGAGACTATTGTGGAATGTAATACTACGTTGAGTATTAGTAGTAGATGTAGAACTTACCATTCTACTACGGTGCCAGTAGATGGCGGTGCTCATATTGAGAGTGGTTGTCGGTCACAGAGCTTGTATATGCGCTTAGCATCTGCTCTTGTAAATTTGCGTTGAGGTCAAGTCGAAAACAACGTTACAGCGCGGCCGTCACGTGCCATATCTTTGACTTGGAATTATGCCGCATTGCGTCGCATTTGGCCTGTCAAAAGGGCATTCCATCGTCTAGTAAAGGCATTGATTACGAAGTACTGAAGACCTGGTGTTTTTAGTGCTCGGTCATACGAATTCAAGGATCCTGGTGTGGCTTCCGCAATACCATGAGTTTTCTGTTGTTCCCCACCTCAAGCTCAGTCACCTCCGTGCGCTGGCACAGGATTGTATCTCCTGGTCGCGTGCCAAATCATTGGAAACGTCACGTCTTCTTTGGTTTTTCGACCTTCAAACATATTCATACCTCCGTCTTACCGACACCTCCAAAATTTGCTGCGCTCCGAAACCCACGAGATAACGAGGAAGCAACATCATGGTTGCACGCCTTTAAAGTCGCATCGATTCCTAGGCAGTTGGTAGAAATATCATTTTCCAGAAGCTCTGGTCCGGGTGGTCAGGTCTGTTTGCTGAGATAAGCTCATTTAGTTGCCTTGGTTCACTGTATCTATTCAGAATGTAAATAAAGTGGAAACGAAAGCTACGGTACGATGCTCCATTGAAGCTGAATGGATACCCCTATGGGCAATAGACGCTTTAAAGAAAAATGTACGAGTCTTACGGATATTAACCAGTATCATGACTGATTTCATGTCAGCCCCACTACGTTACTTCCACCAAGTCCTTATTAATTTCGTCGACAGTTTTTCGTTCCCAGCCGCAAAATTTGCAAGACTGTCTTATGAAGGTATCACAAATTTTTATCTATTCAATCCACATTAAACGCTGTGCATTCACATATCGACAGCTTCACAATCTAATCATTTCTACAGCGGCGGCATCAATCACAAATTCACCATCAATACAACAAAAAGAGCGAGTTCGGAATCTACAGAAAGCTGACGATGCAAGGCGGAGGGTTCAAAAAGACAAACGAAGTCAATTGAAGAAAGGGCGGTCTAGTAAAGGCTGGAGTGACTGACTCTGAAAGTCCCTTTGAGAATAATGCCACCAGATTGTAAGTCATTTTGATTTTTAAATAAATTGGTTTCCCCAAGGTGGCTTGGCACCTTACCTTACTCCACTGGCCAGCCTGTCCTTGTGCTCTAATTGACGTCGTCAGTTGTTCAAATACACCCGATTAACGATGGCTAGTCCGGATCCTACTCAATATTCTACGATCGTCATGACATCATATTCGTACCTCTTACAGGGATAGTCTGTAGTCCCAGTCTTAGGCCAGGTCCGCCACTGGACCTGGTATTTAAGCAGAATACACAACAAACAGTTCTGTACCTCACCCGTTACACCGTTAACACTCCCACTTTGTCTTTATCATCTAGGTTATCTAGTTTGTAATATGTCGACGCAACCGAAAAAGTCTAAGTGGTCATCCGAATCCCTTTTCAAAGACTTGAGGATGGACTCTAAAGCAGCCGCGGTGGAGTTTATTGGCACGACGTATTTCCTTGTTCTTGGTCTAGGCGGTATTCAAGCAGCTACGGGGGAAGCATTTGCGAGCGGTTCGGTGATTGAGCACGTCCTTTACATATCGACATGTATGGGCCTGAGCCTTTTGGTGTCGGCATGGTTATTCTATCGGGTCACAGGCGGTCTATTCAATCCCAATATTAGTCTCGCACTCGTCCTTGTTGGTGTTATTGGGCCCGTGCGATTCGTCTTGTTCTGTATAGCGCAATTGTTAGGGGGGATTGCGGCTGCTGCTTTAGTGTTCGCACTTACTCCTGGGCCACTGGCTTCAAAGTTTGTGCCTTGATCAATTCATCAGTCAACTCACTAAACCGCCTAATGATTTATAGCACTTTCCTTCAAACAGGAATCAACTCAGCTCAAGGCGTTTTTATCGAGATGTTCATCACCTCCGCTCTGGTGCTTTCCGTGCTCATGCTGGCCGCTGAAAAGCATACGGCTACCCCTTTTGCCCCTGTAAGCGTTATATCATATACGTAGACGCCGAATTGATACAAACTCTTCATAAAATCGCAAAGGTCGGAATAGGGCTCACTCTTTTTGCCTGTCACCTGTAAGTTCCAGACTCTGTTGGTTTACCTGGAAAGCTAATAACATATCCCTAGGTGGGCCGTCTTCTACACAGGTGCTGGTATGAACACCGCACGTTCTTTTGGTCCTGCTGTAATATCTGGATTCGGATATCCCCAACATTGGGTGGTAAGTACCGTTACTCGTACGTGTTTCTCTTGGAAGCTCACCATCATCGCTTTACAGTACTGGGTGGGTCCTTTCCTGGGTTCTCTCCTGGGTTCCGCATTCTACACAATCCTCAAAGTGTTCGTATATCACCATCTTCTTAATAATCTCCATTCTGACATGGTGTTCGTGCTTTTCAGTATTAACTACCGTGAACTGAACCCAGCACAAGCTTCTGTGAGGCCTGAAGACTCACCTCCAGTTCCAATCGCTGTCGAGGACGATGACGTGCAAGCAAAAGAAGTAAAGGCTACCACCAAATCTCCGAAGGATCACCAAGGAAATGCAGGAGCAGAAGGCCAAGGAAAACCGGGAATCGCAGTTTGAGAAGTCATAAGTGATATCTTGACCGAGCAACCTCAAAAGATTTACTAGTTACCGATGACATCCACATGTATCTATGATATATAGGTGTTATAGTAACTTTTCCGTCAGTCTCGCTGACGGAATTGATTCCACGGTTCGGTCAATTTATAAAATCCAGAACCATTTTCTTGAATTCGTTGGGCCTTTGGGATGGGTGAGCAGCCATATTAGAGCAGCTTAGTTTATGGTGACACTTACATCTCAGCATGTACTGTCAGTTTCAAATTAATTTTGTGCACCATGGAGAATGAACGATAGCGCGGCTTACCCCAGTGTCCAGTATCTAGCTCATCGAGAAAAGCGAGTGGGAAAAACTCCTTTATAGTTGGAATGTTATGTTTATTGATGAATCTAAACGATGTGAGAAATACTAAGTCATTGAGTGGAGGAGTGAGAAGAAAAAATACTCGCGCGCTCTTCTTTCCCTTGACAAAAAGTGTACTCCCTTCCCATATTCTTTCACCCGGTGCATAAGGGAAAGATCCAATGTCTGGAATACCCTCTTCAAGTATGTCAAGTGGAACCTTGAATTTGAGGTGCGGTGGTTTCGAATGACTGTCGACGTTAGTAAGAAGGAATGCTCGAACATTGGGATCCTGCATTCTGGTTCACATTTGAATGATTATCTTTGGGAGATGGGGCACACATTTTCGTATTCAGCAAGGATATCTCCGGCTGCCTTCCGTGTCGAAACATTGCTCGCTTCAATTTTCTTCATTCCCTCAATGTGACTACGGGATTCCGCAGACAGATCAGCTCGTACTGGTGCAATATCGGACACTATGAGGTGGGCTAGTAGGTCATCAGGCAAATCTAGATCGAGTGCTAGGCTCATAGCAACTTTTCCTCCCCTTATAAATGTCAGTACCTGGGGCTTCAGAATGACTGCACCCGACGATACGTACATTGAGTGCCCAAGGAGTGTAATGTTCGAAAGCGAGTGCGATTGACAGAAACTCAGCACATCAGCCGCCATATGTGTGTATGTCATAGGCCTCACATGTGGTGATGATCCATGATTACGAAGGTCCTTCCCTGACGATTAAATGGGTTCCGATCGAGTTCAAAGAGAGTCGCCTTACTAGCGAGAATACTGGTCGGCCTGAATCTTTCATAAATGCTTTGGATAGTGAGGACCAGTTGCGCTTCGATCCACTACAACGGTGCACCATCTTGAGTACCAATTACACCGCCACTAGAATCTGGAGGAACGACTTACAAAAAGCCATGTAATATTACTAAAGGCCGTTCGTTCTTGTTACCGTCGGAAGGTATGTGTTCATCATAAGCTAGTTTCGTTGGCGTGATCGACGAGGAGAAGCTTCCTGCAGATCATATGTACATTAATATAGCTCTTAGTGGTTCTCGACTTAAGCGGAACTGCTCACTATAGCAACTTAGGGACTGTGACTGCCTCCAGGTTATCCTCCAGAAGCTGTTCAAGCTGTGAGTTGGCTGGTGAAGGAACATTGTGTCCTGCGTGGCAATAGTTTCACTACAGGATATAAGTAAAGGTTTATTCAGCGAGAAGTTATCACCCTTGGATACTTAACTCACCTGGCCTTCACAGTAGAAATTCGAATGAACCGCGACCGCGATATCAAAATTGAAGAACAGACCTCGGCCGGTTGCGGATTGACAAAACTTGTCACGTGGTATTGTTATCACACTTCTTGAGAACTCCTTTGGGGTTTGCCTCTTGCTTTACTGTTCCCCTCTACCGAGGTTAAATAATTCGTGATTTACGCTCGAGTTACTTATTTCTTACAGCAACATGGTTTCCATTAAAATTTCTGCTGCCGGAAAGCCTGTCTCACTCGCGCGTGGACTGCCATATGCTGTCGACTTACCAGGAAAACAAGCAGAAGACGCGACAATCGGGGATGTAAAGGTCGCATTGGCTGCAAAATACCCCAAGGTAATGTTTAGGGTACATTTAGTACCATTGTCACTAAAAAAAACCGCGTAGTTTTATCCATCACGTCAAAAAATCACCTTAAAAGATGATAAAAAGCTCCTTCCAGACGAAACTACACTGGCAAATGCCGGACTGGTTGACGGTGGAGAAGTGTCTGTGAAGGACCTGGGACCTCAGGTTAGCTGGAGGACTGTATTTGTGGTGGAATATGTGAGGCTTCCAACTATATACTTGTCATATCACTTATGACGTGTTTGAAAGGTTGGACCGCTTATTATCCACCCACTGGTATACCATCTCCCCAACATTTTCTACGGTGGCCAAATACAACACAGCTTGTTGCAAAAGTGGGGCATCCTATAATTTGGATGGCTGTTCGAGTTGTATGCTGATATTCTATTAGGTACATCTACTCTTTTGTCCTTCTACATTTCATCAAGCGCGAGCTAGAGACCCTTTTGTAAGTCCCACCCCCTCTATATCGTTTTCTTTTAGACTGATCCACTATGCAGCGTACATCGGTTTTCACATGGAACTATGCCCTTCAGGAACATCTTCAAAAAGTAACTAGCTGGATAAATACTTCCTGTTAGACCACCAGCCACTGACGTTCATTGGTAGCTCTGCGCATTATCATCTTCTTAGCGGTATGATTGCCTTATTATGATGTACCAACTATATTAACGAGATTGTGTCCAGGTATTCTTTTGGCGTATGCAATCTACAGCCCAACCTATGCAGCCACCTCTCCTTATATTCAAGGTACATATCGCGAAGAACCGAAATTTCTCCAGATGGGCGCGGCAATTTGGCTGGTTCGTACTTACTCTTGTTTGTCGAGAGAGAAAAACTCACCACTCAAACAGTTTGCCGAACTCTCTAACCTTACGACTCACATTACCCTCCGAAACCTTCGTCCAGTGGGAACGCGCGAGCGTAAAATTCCATATGGCTATGGATTCTCTTTCGTCTCGTGCCCAAACTACTTGTTCGAGTTTATCGGATGGCTTGTTGTGGCTGTCATGACAGGAAGCTATGCAGGTTAGCCAATTCGAGTGTCTGCTGGTTTGGGTATCGTGAACACTCACATTCACATTGGTGTTCTTTTACAGTATGGATATTTTTGGCCGTTTCTACTTATTATATGTATATGTGGGCCCTCAAGAAACACAGGACGTACAAGAGGGAGTTTGGAGATAAGTATCCACGAGGACGCAAGGCCATGTTCCCATTGCTTTTGTAGCGATGTCCTGCTACTGCCATATTTCTTGTTACCACATTCTTTATACTGCACTAAAAGTGGTAAACCTCGAGTTGCTGGAATAAAAGTTCCATGCAAGCTGCACTAATCTCGATAGCTGGCGTTTACAACGGATTTATGGCCATTAGGTACTAGGTATTATTAGTGTTTTCTTTCTTGGAACTTGAATAATAAAGTCTTGGGGCTAAAGGCTTATGGACTACTAGAATCCATACGGATACAATAGGAGGTATTTTTGAGGAGAATTCAAGTGAAATCTAAGTGGGGGAATTCCCCAAACTACTGATTCTCATGGAATCGTTGAATCAGACACTTCAAGTAATCCTGAACAGGCAGAATCACAGCAATTTGCTCTAACGAGATGTTGACACAAGAGGGCATGTAGGAAAGCTTGGGACATCCCCACACCTACCAGTGGTTTGTATTCTGAATAAAAAGGAATTGTGCCTCAAAGTAGCGCACATAGCCTCTTTATCAGTTCCAGTCTAAGTAACTCGTACTTTGAGCTGGCCCTGATGAGTCAGTGAGTTGGAACTTGCACGGTGTATGGTCATATTTGTACAGTTAAGTACCACCAGGAATCATTTTCATCTATGGATGCTCACTCTAATCCTGCAAATAACATGTCTCTTTCTGAAGAGGAGGAGGATGCCTATCATCGTACTCAGGATCAGAAAGTCATTGAAAATATTGGGGATTTTGATCCTTCGAAGAGGAGCATGCTTCCAAATGCTCTCGCCATGGTGTGCCAAGAAGAGGACTGACTCGACCCCAAATTCAATCTTGTCCGCAACACAAGGGTTCTCCTAGGTAATGAACCAGACCTCAAGGTCACATTGGAGAAAGCGTGGATCAAGAAAGAGTTCAAGGATATAAGGAATCGAGGTAAGTTTATTCCAGGCCCGCTTACTTGGCACGATCTAGCAACTTGCTCCCAGATATATTACGCCTTCCGAGTCAAATTAGAGAAACTAAAGAGAAATCTCAGTCGCATAAGGAATTAGGTAAGTTCGACTTGTGTGTCAAAAATTCAGTCTCTCACAAACACTATATGATGTGTAGACAAGAGTAGGTACTTACTGCTTCTCTACTTCAGGAAGACACCACTTATGTTTCTTTCACCAGTGGTCAAGTCGGCTTGGAATAAGGAATACACAGGGGAAATGCACACACTTCTCTTTGACAATATTAATGCCATGAACCGCCGCTCAACTTACTCTGGCTTTGCATCGATAGTCCAGAGTTCGGGCACGGGGAAGTCGCGGATGGTCCACGAACAGGCTAAGCTCGTCTTCACTCTCCCCTTCAATTTGCGCAGTGAGCGAGATGACCAGTGTAATGTTTTACGTATGATATTTAGACGTATTCACTAATTGAAATCCTGTGGTTAGTTATGCCTTATCCTGGGCCCGACAACAATGTCCGCCAATTCCTCGTCGGATTTCTGTCTAACCCCGGTGGACAGGGGGTTTCGATGGCCAAGATAAACATAACCCTTTTTCTAGGAAAAATCTATCAGTTAGCCGCTGAACGACTCAGCTTGCTGCTGAATGGTGGCCGAATGAAGCGCCAAGAACTTGCCGAGCGCTGGTACAATTATCTTCAGGCTAAAGGAAACCGTTCAACGCTTTATGAAGCTGCCCTAAAAGGTACCAAGGAATACCTATTACACTCGGTGTGTTTCTTCGTTTAGTCAGACGCGAGTGCTTTGATTAATGTGAAGGTATCCTCCTGCAAGAACAATGGGGAAGATATCAAGTCGAAAACGAAGGAGTGGCTTGTTAAACTCGTCGGAACCATCACGGAACATATAACTGATGACGTTCCGGATGATCAATGTGTGAAGGTTATGCTGTACTTTGATGAAGCTCATGCATTGATACCTTCATCTGACCAGGAGCCACAGATCAATGTTCTTGAAGTACTGCAGTCGTGTCTGGCTGATACGCATAGGAGAGCCCATTTTGCCTTGTTCTTGTCGACGGTGTCCAAACTACAAGACTTTGCACCTGTACAGCACCTGGCCAACTCTGCACGTGCTCGAGTGCCCGGCCCGCTCCAGGCACCGATAACAGAGGTGCCATTCGATTGCTGGTCAGGCCTCCCAATTTGTCCCCACCTTTACAAATTGGGTGATCTTTCAAAAATTAGGTTTATGGCTCGGTTCGGTAGACCTCTGTGAGCTTCTCAGCATTTAGACATCCGGCATTGATTGATTTTGTCGCTTATTTCCAGTTATTGGGCTCTACTGAACGAGTCGGTTCCTGACAGTGAGGAAATAATGTTGGATTTGATTTGAGCCAAGATTGTTGGTCGCAATGTTCCTGAAAAACTACCGCCAGTAGAGAAGCAGCTGAAGGAAATAATTGTACTTTTAGATGTGCGGCTCTTGCTTAATTACGAGCTATACCGTGACATGACTATCAATCACGAGGCCAACCTGGTGGCGAGCCACATGCGTATGAATTACTCCATCCCAGAAACTCGAGAGTATCTTCGCTCTAGCTATTCTTCCGAGTTTATTCTGGCTGAGGCAGCCGCTAGGAATTTGGAAATGTATTGCGACAATTTTACGGTGATTTTGAAAGCCCTGGAAAACGAATTCAAATCTGGTCTGCTGGACAAGGGAGCGATGGGTGAACTTGTCGCTCGCTTGCTCCTCATCTTTGCGTATGATCGAGCCATTAGAAATAGTTACTCCACCAAACCCCAAAACTACAGTCAGGGTGTCAGGTTAATCGACTTCCTGAAGGCATTATTCTCCGAAACTTGGATGGACGAAATCATGCGGTGCATTCCAGACAATGTGTCCAGTGAAGTCACGTTAAAAGACATGTTCAAGGAGTCGTACATTCGTTTCACGCATTTTGGGAAGATGGTAGACGACACTGGCACGACAACAGAGGCAATGTATGCTGCGTTCCTCAGGGGCATGGCGATCATCACGCGAGACAATCAGCAGGGCGTGGATATCATGATTCCTATTCTCATGTGGGACAAAGAGCTTTGCGAATATGTCATGACTGCGATACTTATCCAAGTCAAGTGGCGCATCTGTGCAGGATCTATCAACGCATACTTGATTAACCAGAGAGACATCAACTTATTTCCTGACGACTGCATTTCCAAAGAAGTTCAGAATGATGTTCAATCCGATCCCTACTTTGAGTTCACCTTGGAGAGACCTAGAGAGAACTCTGGTGAGCCAGTGCGTCCTTACATCAGTCTAATATTGGAGCTGGGAGTTCAGCCGAAGCTGCCTCGTGGATCTGGTATAAACTCCCAAGTTTACAAAAATCTTGCCAAAAAGACTGCTCCAAGGGTAGTACAGTCAGTCCAGATTGTTGAGAGAGGTTCACATTCTACTGCCAAGAGACAAAAACTGGACCATTTAGATACACTGTCGAAGATTCACGTCATCAAAGGAGGGAAAATTCGCCATCACCACGACCTTCATCCCCGTTACAACATCTTTGCTTACGGCTGCTCGAGTACCGTTTATAGAGCCATCGATGGCACGGATAAAAATGTCTTGGCTAAACTTCTTCGTATTCATGATCTCCTTGCGGAGCATCCTCGCCAGGACTCAAGATCACTCGAAGCTGTTCGAAGGATGAAGCCGTTTTGGAGTGCTGGAGAACCGAGTTATCACTGGCTCGAAAGTAACCTGTTGAACCCTAAAAACGCAATGAATGTTGATGAGGAAGATGAGGGAGGTCAACTGGCTGGCTTCGTCGTTACGGGTTCCATGGAGGATACTGACACATCGGCCTATGACGATGTGTTTGAGACTTAATATTGCATACATGCCTCCATAATCCAGAACACCTATCTCTCTGCAATGTTTGTACAATGTAAAGTTTGGATAGCTGCAAAAATAGTAAACCCCGAGGATAGAAACATAGCTAGCTGGGTCTGGAATGAACAATACAATGATACAAACTAAGATGTTATAAACTTCTGGGAAAGCTGATGATAAAATTCACGAGAAGTAAGTTTGCTAGTGCTGATATGTCCAATACTCATAACATACTCGTATTAAGCACGATAAATGTTCTTAACAAGACAGGTTCCAGACAACATTATACCACCTCGCAATCAAAACAAAGGCCGTCGGGCAGTAGGTGCATGTCATGTCATTGAAAAATTTGCTGTGCAAGTTGTCGGAGGCTTGATTGAAGGGGACATGGAACAATTGGGTGGCCTTTTCTTCTCCGAGCCGGAAGACCTTGCAAAAACGCATCTCACATCTTTCAATTTTAATGCTTTTGTTTGCCATGTACAACAAACAGCTCCGCTTCTATGGGACCTCCTTGAGTGAGCAGTTTATAGTAGAAAACAATGGGCACAAACACTGTGACAAAACTGGATAAACCTGGTCTCTGCCAAAGCAGCCATTGTTCTCCATGGAGCATAGCCACCACTCCATGGAGTAACCATTGTTCTCCTAGGAGCACAATTGTACTCCTAGGAGTCATTATACTGTAGTGAGTAGCACCTCCGACTATAAGTAGTAGGGGGTTTAGTATAGGAATACCTCAGTCGTTTCTATAGCCTCTTGGGCAGCGGCTGAGGTATGTTACATTACATTTATTAGAGATCACCTTAAACTAACATCCATTGTAGTTTCACTTAGGTAAATAATAAAGTCGTTTCTATAGCCTCTCGGGCAGTGGCTGAGTTTCACATAGTTTTATTAGGTTATGAGCCCTGGTGTGCAAAAGCTACGCAGGAAATAATTCTTATTTGAAACGGCAACCTCGGAACCATGACCACAGCACATGATACATCCTCATGTCCAGTTCTCACTGGACCCAACAATTTTCAGATATGGAAACTCCGGATCATCTCAAAGCTACGTTGGGAAAAAGCTCTCCGGGTTGTTACTGGAGAGGAGCTTAAGCCCTCACCAGGAAAACCTACCTCCTTGGAGGATCCTGAGATCACCTGGATACTTAAGGATGAGAAGGCACATGGAATCATCCAGGACCACATCTCTGATGCCCTCCTAATGAGGACTGGAGACCTCACCAGCTCCAAGGAGTTATTTGATAAACTTGTCTCACTCCATCAGACATCCAACATTGCCTCGGCGTTCTATTCATTCCAGCAACTCACCAAATTGTCCTGGGATGGGACATCACCTATCCAGGACCACATTGCGAAAATCTGGACAATTTATTCACACCTCTCCGGAATGAAACTAGGAGTTGATACCAAACTCATGGCTTTCGCTCTTCTCCAATCTCTCCCATGCACTCCTGAATGGCAAATATTTCAGTCATCAGTAATCAACACGATTGAAGAAAATAAACTTACCTTTGATGCAGTTGAGATCCGGATCACTGCAGGAGTTGCACGACAGTCAGGGAAGGCCCCTGGAGGTTCCAAATCAGCACTCAAATCCGAGGAGAAGTGGTGTGACTTCCACAAAGCTAAATCACACAATACCTCAGAGTGTCAAACACTTCAGTCAGCTGGAAAAGGTCAAAGGAAGAAGGGAAAGGAAAGATACAAGGATAAAGGAAAAGAGAAGAAAAAGGCAAATACGGCGGAGCAATCATCTGGATCTGACTCCAAGGAGGAACAGAGTCATATTGCATTGGAACATGTACATATTTTCAAGCCCCTTGCTAAATGCATTCAAGCTTACCTTGTGTCAGAACCCGATAAGACCAAAACAACAATTATTATTGACTCCGGAGCAACATCCCACATGGTCCCTCACCGCTCCTGGTTTGAGCCAGGAACATACCATGTTCTGCATCCTCCGAGGACAATCAGTTTTGGGGATGAATCCTTTGTAAATGCCATTGGAATTGGAACAGTAATCCTACAAGCAACTGTTGGCAAAAAGGACTACAATATTGCACTGTCAAATGTCTTACTTGTGCCAAACTTCACGTTAGCACTCGCCTCTGTCCACAAATTGTCCAAAACGGGGTTATCAACACTTTTTCCAGCAGGGTCAAATGCTTGTGAAGTTTGGAAAAAGGAGGAACTTATCCTCACTGCGTTACACAAGCGAGGACTTTATCACATCCAAGCAAAACCCAAAATCAACCTGGAGTCAGCTTTTGCAGCAGTAGATGTAAATTTATTGCACAGGAGAATGGGACACATTGGAATGGATCACTTGCAACAAATGGTTACAAAAAGACAGCTCCAGGACATAGACACCCTTACCGGAACCCCGGAGTTTTGTGAACCTTGTGCTTTAGGAAAGATGAAGAAATTACCTTCCAAGTCCACTGGAGGAAACCGAGCCAAGCGCCCCATACAAATTGTGCACACAGATGTTGGAGGACAAATCAAACCAACTTCCAGGGAGGGTTTTCGGCACTGGATTATCATTGTAGATGATTTCTCCAAATTTCCATGGATCTATTTCCTAAAACATAAAAGTGAAGCACTGGAATAATACAAGCAATGGAAAGAAGATGTCCAAACATTCTTCCGGACTCATTTCGGAGAAGAAAACTTCACTCCACTGTACACAGAATTCCTCCAGAGTGATGGGGGACGAGAATATACTGGCAATGCATTCAATAAATCAACTCCGAGGAGATGGTGTCATCCAAGAAACTACAGCTGCAGATACTCCGGTGTCAATGATGAGAACTGCAGTTAGAAAACCACACACAAAACAAACTAACACACAATCCTCCCAGATTCCATGGAACTTGTTTATGGGCTTTGCCTCCTAGAACAGTGGAGTGGTCTGGTTGTTCGTGGGGTGGTACGTATAAAGATCCTTCAAAGTAAAACCCAGAGGTGTATGAGTGTGGGTTTTGAGGAGGAGGGATAGTTGATTTTATAGAAGGATAGGGGCTTTGTGACGAGTATAGACGAGCACTACCTTGCTAATTGTAGCACAAGGTAGGTTTGAGAACGACAATATGACGAGGTTCCCAGTGATAGCAGGCTCCTGATGCACAAACTGTAGTGCTCAGAAGGACTCTAATCGAAAGGGATGACAATGACTTCAAAAGTGGGAAGTGACGATGACAGCAGTTGACAGTGGTAGAAGTGGGAAGTGTTGTGACCACACTGGATCACAAGTAGCAGAGTAGTGAACTTGAGAGTAGAGAAGAAGTCTAGAGTGGAGTTCTTGTTCTTTTTACAAGGTAAAATACAGGGGTTTATATAGTAAAAGAAAAGTAGGCTATGCACAGTATAGCTGTGCAAAAAAGAATGAGAAAGAATATGAAGGAAGGAATGTACGCTGACGAATCCTGCGTAGGTAGTACAGGATAAGATTGTCAAAAAAGGAAAAGAAAGAGATAGAACAATGAATGCTGTGAGTAATGTCACAGGTTTGTACAGCCATAAAGTAAAGTCCAATAGCAAAAAGAGAGCAGGAAAATCATGATGTCATGGGAAGATGCAGTAAAAAAAGGGCAAGGCAAAACACTATCAGTATCAACACAGTTCCTTTATTATCAGTCAGACATTCTAAAAAAATATGTGTCCATAAAAATGATTCAAAAATCAAAAATAATTGCACTGTAAATGAATGTTCTGCTGAAGAAAAAGAAACTGGAGCCACTGGTCCACCACCTAGTCCAAATCCGACAGTTCCATGGCCTTACCAATGGACTGGTTGTGTTGGACCACCTGATCAAACGAGGGAGGGAGAGGAGTAGTTCCAATTTGGAACAAGTGAGTCCCAGGCAGCGTGTGGTAGGTGTAGCTGTAGCGAAGACGATGGACAAAAGATAAGTGTACCCAAGTGAATGGGACAGCGATGAACATGGGCGACGCAAGGGGATGAACCTTCTCCAGCTCAAAAATTACCCACCCACGCTCCAACCAGGCAAGACGAGCGACCGATGTTTTGATAGTATATGATGGTAGATCGACGTCATAAAGATGGACCTGTTGCCCTATTTGAACCGGCCGCCGGGGCTTTGCTGATATCAGCAGTGGCACGTGGTAGTCAACGGATCGGCGACGGAAGCGGATAGGAAGTGGTGACATCAGAAATGGTGGGGGTGCAAATAAAATGAGGAGGAGGAGGGTGGAGGTGACGGAAAAGTGGATTAGAATGGGGATCCAGAAATGACTGTCAGGTGAGAATAAAAAGGAGAGGAAGGGGCCCATGGTGGGGCTAGGCAAAGGAAGGGGAGTAAGGGAAACGACAAAAGCGAGGGCGCAATGCAATGTGTAGCCAGTGGTGACGCGAAAATTTGCCGAAATGCCGAAACATGGAAAGTACCGGATGGAAAAGCAAAGGTGAGCGTGACTGGATTGCTTAATAGAGGTGATGCTGATCAGCCACAAGTTCGAAAAAGGCAATATTAATTACTATTCCACGTGGCACTGTGCCTGTGTGGCGCAAAGGCGAGTCTTTTGAATATTCGCTTCATTATTGACACCTGTCCATGCTACCAATCAACTTTGGTGCATGACACCGGAACAAAATGACATTGCAGAACTCATGAATCAGACATTGGCTACATTAGCAACCACTATGCTCCAAGATTCCAAGCTCCCAAAGTCATTTTGGGTAGATGCCATGCAAACAGCTGCATATATCACAACACGCAGCCCAGCATCAGGACTCCATGGAAAGACCCCATATGAAATACTGTTTAAAAGGAGAGTTGATCCAACTTTCTTTCGCCCTTTTGGATGCCAAGCATATGTCTTGATTTTGAAAGACAAAAGGCAAGGGAAGTTTTACTCCAAGGGGCGCAAAGCCATAATGATTGGCTACACACATGGAAAGCAAGCCTACAAACTCCTAGACACTGAAAAACGGACTGTGTTTTCCAGTTGGCATGTCATATTCAA